GGCTGGGGCTATAATGCTGAGATACTTTTGGAAAAATAAACCTCAACCAATGACTCTTCACAGTTTCATCTTTGGGTAGAGAAAATAACACTAACTTTCTCTGCACACTTCCAATAATATCCATCGGAGCACAGCATCTTTGCGACATGATTCAACTAGCGTCTGCTACAGTGTTCTTCTTCTTTGCTACTGTGTTTGTGGGCAGGGCCGGGGGGTTAAATTTCCCGGGTTTGCTCGTGCAACAATTGGGCGGGACTTAAGTTCTGTTTCCACATCACGCCGGCACAGATAAAGACTTATTATCAAAACTATTCATTTGAAGCATTATGAGACGACTCTTTTCTAGATGAATCAGTTTTAAACTTGGCACACTTTCAGATTTAAGCCTTAGCTGGATATTTCACTTCACTCAGAGCTGTGTTACACACTACATGGAAGGTCATTTTCATTTATTTATTCATTTTCTTGTCAGCTTAGTCTCTTTATTAATCTGGGGTCGCCACAGCGAAATGAACCGCCAACTTATCCAGCAAGTTTTTGCGCAGTGGATGCCCTTCCAGCCGCAACCCATCTTTGGGAAACATCCACACACACACATTCACACACACACTCATTCACTACGGACAATTTAGCCTACCCAATTCACCTGTACCGCATGTCTTTAGACTGTTGGGGAAACCGGAGCACCAGGAGGAAACCCATGCGAAGGAAGGGAGAACATGCAAACTCCGCACAGAAACGACAACTGAGCCGAGGTTTGAACCAGCGACCCAGCGACCTTCTTGCTGTGAGGCAACAGCACTGCCTACAGCTTTAATTCAACCCCATTTTGATTATGCTACATCTTTTTGGTACAGTAGCTGCTCACAGAATTTGAAGGAGAAATTGCAAAAGGCACAAAATAAATTAGTACGAATAATTTTAAAAATGCATCCTAGAGCACATTTGCACAAAGAGTCTTTTGATAAATTATGTATGTTAACTGTTAGTAATAGAGTGTGTTTTTTAAAACTAGGAATGGTACGAAAATTTTTTAATTTAATAGTTCCTAGATATTTGATGAACCATTTTCAAATGATGAGGCAACAGCATTCATACAGTACTAGGAGTTGCGATTTTAATATTTGTTTATTTAAATTTAGAAGTTTAGTGGGGAAAAATATGTTTTTATATACAAGTGCAATCATGTGGAACAAACTACCAAAATCAATCAAGGAAATAAAAGATTTAAGGTTGTTCAAAAAAGCTATCAAAAGATGGTTGTTTGATGAGGATAATTAGTTTGCATGGTGGACGAGGATGTTTTAATTTATATGTTACTTGAGTGTGGATAGGGTTGCGGCTGGAAGGCCATTAGCTGTGTAGAACATGTGCTGGATAAGTTGACTGTTCGTACCGCTGTGGCGACTTTGTTTTATTCTTCATTAGTATTTTGAAGCCATACATTGTTTTTATTTAACAGAGGACCACAATGGAAATAAGCCCAGAACTTTGTGTTTTTATCTTCGACAGTTTTTTTTTAACAAAGTGTATGGAATACTTTTTGTACAGTTTGTCTAAAATCTGTCAAATAAAATTCAATTCACTGCCTCGCAGGTCATTTTCAAAAACCCAACTTTCAACTTTTCTTTATTTCCATCATCACATTGTCAGTATAAAATCCCTCAACTCTAATGTTAGCCTCATTAGCCCTCCGACGTTGAATAAAGTGGGTCTGGAAAACCTCACCAGGCTTTTTATTAAACCTGATAGCGTTTATCATGACTGATGTGATGATTACATGCATGTGTGCTCTGTATCTCAGCGTGACACCTGCTCTAAATGATAAGGTAACGCCGGGTGAGAGAGCGCTGGAACGTATCTGACATAAGGAATGCTATGATGATCTAAATATAATACTGAGACACCAGAGACAGCACCACTGACATGCATTTTCATTCAAACACACACACACACACACTTGAGTCTCACACACTGACATGACACCCAGGAAGTCGTCAGCTGCCTCTGACTCTGTATACAAATCAGCTATATTTGAATAAGCTGCATCCTCTTGGGAGAGAAGAGAGGAAAAAAAAGACCTGTGAACATGTTAAGTAGGGCAACTTGTGGGAAAAGAAGGATTATGGATTTATAGGAGGTAAAATAGATGCTTACGTGGAGGTGAGCAGAGTTTTGGATGAAGCAGAGACTGTGAAACTCAATCTCTGAACTACAAATATCTTTAAAATCCCACCCTAGTCATTTTATGACATATGACAAAAGAGACTGTGGATAAGATTGTAATCCTCAGGACATCTGGACACAAGCCAGCCTGTCCTGGAATAACACACAAACACATATATACTCAAACTGCATGTGGTAAAAAAGCAAGTTTAATAGTCAATAAAATTAATATATTTAAGTTCACCCTCTGAAAACATTTACAAAATTAATGATGCATAAATGTCCACAAATATTAGAAAAGTATACAGAGACCGTGAGTAAATCATTTCAAGTAGATATAGGTATAGGGTTTAAATTTGCATTAAATGAGAGAAGAGAGAGAAATATGAATAATAAACAACAGCTTTTGTTTGTATTCTGAAGCACACACAGACATGGTCGACATTCTGTTGTACAAATCACATTTACATGACTGATATTAGATAAACAGACTGAGTCCTATGGCAAGCCATTTTGACATTTAATCTATAGCCCATACTAGTATCTATTTTTAAGTGACTAGTACTTATTTTTTAGATACTAGTATATTTTCCAGTAAGTACTATAGTACTTATTCATTAGATACTAGTGCCTATTCTTTAGATTGTAGTCCCTATTTTTTAGATTGTAGTCCCTATTTTTTTAGATACTAGACCCTATTCTTTAGATACTAGTGCCTATCTTTAGATACTAGTCGCTATTCTTTAGATGGTGCCTATTCTTTAGATCCTAGTCTTAATTATTTATAAACTAGTCCCTATTCTTTAGGTACTAGCCCCTATTCTTTAGATACTAGTGCCTATTCTTTAGTTACTAGTGTCTATTCTTTAGATACTAGTGACTATTCCTTAGATTCTAATCCCTATTTTTTAGATACTAGTGCCTATCCTTTAGATTGTAGTCCCTATCTTTTGATAGTAGTATCTTCTCTTCAGATACTAGTGTCTATTATTTAGATATTAGTGTCTATTCTTTAGATACTAGTGTCTATCCTTTAGATTCTAGTCCCTATTCTTTAGTTACTAGTGTATATTCTTTAGATACTAGTGCCTATCCTTTAGATTGTAGTCCCTATCTTTTGATAGTAGTGTCTTCTCTTCAGATACTAGTGTCTATTATTTAGATATTAGTGTCTATTCTTTAGATACTAGTGTCTATCCTTTAGATTCTAGTCCCTATTCTTTAGTTACTAGTGTATATTCTTTAGATACTAGTGCCTATCCTTTAGATTGTAGTCCCTATCTTTTGATAGTAGTGTCTTCTCTTCAGATACTAGTGTCTTATATTGAGATATTAGTGTCTATTCTTTAGATACTAGTGTCTATTCTTTAAATACTAGTGCCTAATCTTTAGATACTAGTGCCTATTCTTTACATACTATTGTCTATCCTTTAGATTCTAGTCCCTATCCTTTAGACACTAGTGCCAATTATTTAGATAGTAGTGCTTATTCTTTAGATACTAGTGTCTATTCATTAGATTCTAGTCCCTATTCTTTAGATACTAGTGTCTATTCTTACTAGTCCCTATTCTTTAGTTACTAGAGCCTATTCTTTATATACTAGTGCTTTTTAAAAATATACAAGTGCTTACTCATTACACACTGGTTCTTTTTATTAGATACTAGTACTTATTCATTAGATACTAGTATTTATTAAATAGATACTACTTATTTATTGGATACTAGTACTTGTTTTAATAGTGACTAGTAACTATTTTGTTGTTACTAGTAATACATTTTATCTGTCATTGAGATATCAACTATTCAGTTTTGACAGGTGTATATTTCAGTACATAATTTTATGTACTAGTAGTTAATCATTAGGTACTAGTACTTATTAATTAGATACTAGCACCCAATTTACAGATAAAAGTGCTTGTGTATTAGAGACTAGTACTTATGAAATAGATACTACAACTTATTTAAAAGATACTAGTACACATTTATTAAATACCAGTACTTTTTTTTAATGTTACAAGTAAAATGTTTATTTTACTATTAAAATGTTTAATTGAACTCCACTCTTCCATTTGGACTAGTCATAACATAAGACGAGTAAAAAAGCAAAGCTGACTAGTAAAATAAGAATTGTTACTAGTAAAAGTTATAAAAGGTACTAGTGTCAAATAAATAAATACTAGTAATAATGAATAACTTCTAGTATCTATTTAATAGTTACTAGTATCTAATGAATTGGGACCAGTATCTAAGGAATAAGCACTGGTACGTAATAAATAATTCAATCTAAAGAATAAGCACCAGTGATGGGTCGTTCATGAACGATTCATTCATTTTGAACAAATCTTCAACATGACTCGGGAACTACGAGTCCTCTCAGGGAGTGATTCGTTCATCCGCGAGTGCGCACATTTGTGCAGGTGATATCGTTCATTTCAAGTTTTGAGTCATTCATCGTGGAAAGGCAGAAGCCAATCATATGTGTTTAGAGCATAGACTGTAAAATATGGTTTAGAGCCGGAAAAAGAATTGAACCGTTAATCTCTCGAGTCCTCGGGTTTGAGTCATTCTCCCACGTGATGAACGAACGACTCAAGAACCAGAAGACTTGAAAGGTGAACTAATTATTATGGCTCCTATCGGCTCAGACTGTACATTGGTTAAGATTATATGTGACTGTCAGTGTAACGTGAACGAACCACTGACATTTGAAGACATGAAGAGCTGACCAAAGAGACAACAATACCTTCATAGACAAAAGAGCAGGTAAACATTGCATTATTATTTTCTCCTTCTTATAGTATTTTATTTATGACTTATTTGTTGTGTGATCAACCTTTTCAGCTAGTTGTAGATGTGTTTGGAAGCAATTCGTAACATTGTAATAACATTTTGGCAAATTGAACCAAAAGAACTAAATGACTCGAAAAACGATTCGTTCATCTTGATGAACGAGACTCAAAGATCTGAGTCAGTAAAATGATCCGAACTTCCCATCACTAATAAGCACTAGTATCTAATGAATAATACTAGTATCTAAAGAATATGCACTAGTATATAATGAATAAGCTCTGGTATCTAATGTATAATACTAATATTTAAAAAATAGGTATCTAACGAATACGCACTTGTATCTAATGAATATGCACTAGTATCTAGTGAATAGGCACTCGTTTCTAATGAATAGTGCTAGTACTTAATGGGAAATAAGCTAGTATCTAAAAAATTAGCACTAGAATCGTAACATCAAGATACTAGCACAGGTTATTGAATAATTGTCTAAATGGCTTGCCATATGAGTCCATTAGGAGTCAGTCTCTCTAAAATGTAAATCAAATGTCGATAGCTTAATGTCTCCCTCTATTGGCAAGTATAAGTACTAGCACCCAAAACACACAATATGGCTGCACATGTTTAAACTGACTATGTGGTTTTGCTCAGAAATCACATTAATTAATATTCATTACACATTAGAACATTACATTAGATTTTATATTTCATGAACACAAGTTAACTGCAATTGTAATGTTGCATTATTTCAATCCAATTCTGGGTGTAATAAATTTAATTTATAGGACCAAATTTAACACACTGTGTGGGTTTGTCCATGTTTTAGCCAATTTGGGTTTAAATAACCTATAATTTCTTAGCGTGTATATTAGTATTAAAAATCCACGGCAATAAAATTTGTGAATGTTAGAATCACCATTTACTACACTGTTATTATAATCTAGAATTGTGTTTTTATATTAATGCATGGTAAGTTGACATGAACAACTACATTTTACTAATGATTAAATAAGACATGCTATACATATAAACTGCTCACTTTTAGTTCATTTTGCTATGTAATGTAATTACGTAATGTAGAATTATTGCACAAAAACAAATTAAGTTAACTTAGAGATGGTTTATCTCATGTAGATCCCTGATTCACATTTAGGTATACCTGAGCTAAATTAATAGTTACACTGTATAAAGGACAGCTAAACAAAGTATAATTCACATTAACCATATATACATATGACACACTATCAAAAAGTCAAACCCTCAGAAGCAAAATTACATTCCAACTATCAATTAAAAACATTCAATGGCAGAATGGTTGCATTAGAGAGACATTTGAGCAAAACATGTCATGTGAGTATTCATGTTCTTTTTATAACAGCTGCAGATACTAATGCAATATATAATGATGCAGCCCTACTTCAAATATTGCCTCTTGCCTTCTTCTTTATGACCTTTAGTATTTTGAATCTAATCTCTCCTGAAGAAGCAAAATCTCACTGAAAAACATAAAATGAAAGAGAAATTCTTCATTAGATTACAGTGAATGCATTGGAGTGTGTTTGTACAGTGCATCCAGAATTGTAAATACATATTTATATTATATTTATATTATATATATATATATATATATATATATATATATATATATATATATATATATATATATATATATATATATATATATATATACACACACACACACACACACACACACACACACACATATTTTTTTTTCTTAAGGGGGCTGATAATAATGACCTTAAACATTGTTTACAATTGTAAAATATTATCTAAACTACTGACTATTATCTAGGTATTTAGGTCACATTTACAAAACAGTAATTACCTCAATGTCAGAAAAGAAGACGCGTCCAAGATGTGGATCCCCAACATCCCGTTTAAGCACGGTAAAAGGATTAAGAACACTTTCATTCCTAAAGTTCAAACCACCAAAGACGCTGCCTCTGAAGTAAAGGACAGCCAACAGGTGCTTCTTGCTAGAAACGAAAAGTTAAATTTATCAATAACAGCTACTTTATGCAACACAGGCTCATTCTGAAAACGTAGTGCTGCGGACGTTTCTGGAGACCACAAATTATGTAGCCGGAGGTATGTATGGCTGCATTTCATTTTTTTAAGCGAACGCTACGGGGCGGTGTGACACCATTCCCTTCCACGCTTGCCGGCTGACTGCTAACCTCCGTGTGGAGGGCTTTCCCACTGCAACCAGTTTGTACAGTTAGCTCGTCAGGTACGTCGGCGGACTTAAGAAGCAGAAAGGAGCTGACTATGACAACAAGACCGGGTTCGAGTCCGGGCAAGAGCGGTTCCAAAAATCAGGTAAGACAAAAACAGAATCCAAAAAATTTAGTGAATTGTAAGTGAATAACAGGCTGAGAATGTGGTAAAATTCGAAAATGTGATAAACATCAGACGAGGGCTTTTCTTTTTCTCGGGGGCTTTTTTTTGTAAATTGTTGGTTGGGTTTAGGGTAGTAAGTGGGCAGGCGGGTCAATCGGTAAAACTGCTTGGGTTTAGGGAAGGAGGAGGAGGGTGGGTCGGCCAATTGGTCGGTCGCCCAGTCAATCATTTAGCCAATCGGACAGGCCGTCATTCAGGTCGAACAGCGTGGGCGTGAATGGCGCTCACGAGAGATGTTTGACATGCGAAAAAGTGCGCACAGCGGCCTCCTGCAAATTCGCAAAAACAAAAACTGCACAAATACGTACCCCTCCCTGGACGTAGTTTGCGGTCTCCAGAAATGTCTACGGGACTATGTTTTCAGAATGAGCCTGGGTTGATTTTATAGGTACTCATGAGTTAACTTTTTACAATAGTAACATATTCCAAGATATCATAACACGTACCTGATGTCTGGATAATCATTAACTAACGGAGTCAACAGCTCTTTGATATTTTTGTAATTTTCCATTTTAATAATGTCGCTAAGGTACTCCCCCAGTGGGTAAAGCCAATCTAAAGATGATCCCTGAACACAGAAGAATGTTTTAGTGCATAACTTTGAAAAACAGAGCTGTGTTGCATTGTTATTTCACGTATAACTATATCTTACCATTTCCTGAAAGAGTTTCTTGAGTTCATTCCATTGTTCTCTGATTTTTATGGCTGCCTCTTCGTTTTTGCTTTTTTTGCACTTATACTTTTTCTTCATCAGCTTGGAGATGTATTCTCTGGCTACATAATAGTGGATATCATTCGCAAAAACCTGCAAAAACAGACATTGTGTTAAACACAGCAGCTGTTAAAGAATTTTCTAAAAAGATGGAAAATGAACTCACTTGTGCTGCAGGAGCTCTCATGGTTTTGCAGAGCCCAGAAATATTATATATCCTGGAAACCACTTCATTAAAATCTTCATCTGTTTTCAGCCATTTCTTGGTCATCATTTCATCCATTAAAGGCTTTTGGACAAAATGGCATTGTACAGTAGTTAATTAGACTCGAAGAGATAGATTTACTAAAAGACTTACATCAGAGCAAACTCTCTTTTGGCATTAAATCTATACTGTCAGGATATGCAGTGAAACACATAGCAATTGCAGCAATTGGATCATTCCATGTCAAATCAACCAAATTTTAGCCACTAATTTTTGATTTTGGTAATATTTTCTTGCAAAAATATACACACTGTATTAAACTTTGGTCCCACTTTATATTAAGCGTCCTAAGTAACTATGTACTTACATCCAAAAATAAATACAATGTACTTACTGTGTTTAAAATGTATTTGAGAACACTTGTGGTGCTTTTGAGTTGAGATAGAGGTTGGGTTATGGACAGGTTTGGTGGCATGGGTAGGTTTAAGGGTGGGTTAAGGTGTAAGGGATGGTCAACAGTGTATTTACAAATGTAATTACAAAAGTTAATTACAGATGTAATTACATACATGTATTTAATCAAGCATAAGTACATAGTAAATACATGTAATGTAATGTACATTGTAGCAAATAATTAGTTCCTATGTAAGTACATATTAGTTAAGGCCACTTAATATAAAGTGGGACCTAAACTTTTTCTGCAATGTGGAAGTGTGCTCGTTTAATCCCGATTGTTTTAGAACTTCCAGTTGAGTTACCTATGGTAGAAATGACTAGGAATAATAAAACGACAGGAAACTGTGAAATTACTCTCTCTACAAACAAGTGTGTATACGACTATGCATACAAATAAAATAATTAGAAATTATAAGTTTCCAACATCAAGCAGCAAAGCGAGCTGTTTTTAACATCTGAAATTAAATGTGGAAGTAAATAAGCCTGGAAGTTTCAAGCAAGGTTCCAAATGTTGTGCCCACTTGTACTTAAAGAATAAAGTCAATAAACACTGGGCAAAGACAAAGTCATAAATCTCAAGGATGCATTACTAAGTAATTCACTATATTTATAATAATCAGTGGGTTCTAAATGAAAAGATCTCATTATAACAAGAAAAGATCTAATTTTTATGAGAAAACGTCGATATAATGAGAAAAGATCTCGTTTTTATGGGAAAAGATGTCGTTATAATGAGAAAAGATCTCGGTTTTATGAGAAAAGATCGTTGTAACGAGAAAATGTCATTTTTATGAGAAAAGATGTAATTTTTAAGAGAAAAGATGTCGTTATAACGAGGAAAGATGTAATTTTTATGAGAAAAGATGTCATTATAATAAGAAAAGATGTCATTTTATGAGAAAAGATCTTTTTATAACAGGAAAGATGTCATTTTTACAAGAAAAGATCTCATTATAATGAGAAAAGATCTCGTTTTTATGGGAAGAGATGTCGTTTTAATGAGAAAAAATCTCGCTTTTACGAGAAAAGATCTCGGTTTTATGAGAAAAGATCTCGTTGTAACGAGAAAATGTCATTTTTAAGAGAAAAGATGTCATTTTATGAGAAAAGATGTCGTTTTTATGAGAAAAGATCTCGTTATAATGAGAAAAGATCTCGGTTTTATTGGAAGAGATGTTATAACAAGAAAAGATGTAATTTTTATGAGAAAAGGTCTCGTTATAATGAGAAAATATCTCGTTTTTATGGGAAGAGATGTCGTTATAACGAGGAAAGAAGTCATTTTTATGAGAAAAGATGTCATTTTTACAAGAAAAGATCTCATAATGAGAAAAGATCTCGTTTTTATGGGAAGAGATGTCGTTTTAACGAGAAAAGATCTCATTGTAACGAGAAAAGATGTCATTTTTATGAGAAAAGATGTAATTTTTATGAGAAAACATGTCGTTATAACAAGAAAAGATCTCCTTTTTTTTTAGAAAAGATGTCGTTATAACGAGGAAAGATATCACTTTTATGAGAAAAGATATTGTTATAACGAGAAAAGATGTCATTTTTATAAGAAAACATGTCGTTATAACAAAAAAAAGATCTCGTTTTTATTAGAAAAGATGTTATAACGAGGAAAGATATCATTTTTATGAGAAAAGATATTGTTATACCAAGAAAAGATGTCATTTTTACAAGAAAAGATGTCATTATGACGAGAAAATATGTCATTTTTACGAGAAAAGATCTCATTTGTATGAGAAAAGATTTCATTATAACGACATATAGCTGAGTGGGAAAAAAATATGTGTATGGCAGCAATGCGTCACCATACACTGGAACTAGAGATCAAGCCCAACTCCTGCAAAACATTCCAACACCATAACCGCCCCTTTACAAAACTTTACACTTGGCACAGTTTAGTCAGGCATGTACAGTTCTCCAGGCAATCACCAAACCCTGATTCATCCATCAGAATGCAAGAGAAGTGTAATTGGTCAGTCCAGAAAACACATCTCCACTGAACTAGACTACAGTGTTACATCTGTACATATCAGTTACCAACCAATCTCTGAATTAAATCAACAAACAAAACATAATGGTGCTGCCATGGAGTAATATTTGGTGCCAGAAATATTCAACCCTTTCTAAAAGAAATGGTGGATTACTTGGTGAACAATAGTTCATGGCATTTATTATTTTATTGCTGTCTTTTACCAGAAAAATAAATTTAACATAAATATCAAAAAGGTCAATCAAGGACACTAAACGACCATTGTAGGAATTTCCCTAAATGGGGAGAGTATTGAAATCAACCGTGCATTGTGTTTTATAAAGGTTTGTGGCGGCCAGATCACTGGTTTTTCTGGTTTTTGTCTAAACTCTACACTCGACGTGGGCAAAATGATCAGAGCAAGCAGTGCGGAAGACAAATACATGTAGTAGAGGGTAGAGGGAATTATATTGACTCATATTCCTTCATTTTAAATGCCAGACAATAATGTTATCTGAACATATAACAATAATAAGAAACATTTTAGCCCAAATCTTTCAAATCCGACCCTAAATATACAAAGGTAATATACAGCATGCTCATGACTTATGTAGAATATTAGATTCTGATGAACATAAGTTGACCCACCTTGACGTCTGTTTGGAAATGTTTAATGAGGGTCTGGCTAAGTCTTTGATTCAATTGATCCACTTGTTTGTTTAGAGTCTCCACCTGAGCAGAGCAGCTCTCTTTATAGCACTGCACATGCTCTCTGTAACACAATAACATTAAAAAACAACATTTGAACAAACATATCTCAAAATCGACATTCTCACAGGAAGAAGAAGAGTTTCATTTCATTTAAAGGGGAACAGTTCATTTAATGGGGACCTATTAATAAATGTGGGCGACGCAGTGGCGCTGTAGGTAGTGCTGTCGCCTCATAGCAAGAAGGTATATTTTGAGCCCGACAAAATTTGCCCGAGCCCTTTCAGGCCTAATTTTTATGGCTCCATTACAGCTCTAGTCTGAGGCACGTATTGATTCTGGGGGGGTTGCAATTTTCAATGTTGGTGTAATGAAGTGGCTGACACGGAGGGATCCATTTGCTGTATGTTTATTAAACACAGTTTAATAATAACAAGTACACAGATGTAATGCGTGTGCGAACTCACAATCAAACACAGTTGTATTAAGTCGAAGGGCTGGCGGCAGGTAAACACAGGATGAGTATGCAGGCATGGGTCAGAGACAGGCGGCGAATATCAAGGTCGTTGTTCAGGCTACAGTTCTGGGCAGGCGGCGTGGATCAGAGTCAGTATTCAGGCAGAGGTACAAGGCAGGCGGCAGGCAGGCAGGCAGGAGGAGGTCGATAATTAAGGCAGGGTAAGCAACGGAAAAGCAGGCAATGTAGAGAAACGCTCAGTAGTGTTAGCCAGGGCAGAACAAGACTTCGCAATGAGAGTGTGTGTGTGTGCTGCTTATATGTGAGCGTGGGTGATCAACTCGATGAGCTGCAGGTGTGCATGCTATCAGTGTAAGTGGATGATGTAATGGTTAGAAGTCCGGTGATGATGACCTCTGCTGGCCAGCGAGGGAAATGACTGGGACCGAGTCGGTGACAGTTGGTATTTTGTTAATTTTCATAAATACATACCTAACATTAACTAATGAAACTTTATTTATAAAGTGAAAGTACTTATGAAATTATATAAAAACATTATAGAAAAAAAGCATTAAGATGAACATCACATTACATTCACTTTGAACTTGAGTATATCCTTGTGAAGCATATTATTTCTATATTAAGTACTCTTCTCAAAGGAAACATTCATCTCAAGATGGACTTACTTGAGTGAGTTAAAACTGTTGATGTAGGTAATGTGATACTGTATCCACAGACAGATATCCAGCAGGTCAGAGGTCAACAGAAAGCATGTGCTCTGTGAAAAGACTTCTTCAAACCTAAAAGATAATAACATTTTAAAAAATCAGTCAAGAAAAGATGCAAAAAAAGATACTAATTTAATATGTTACTGTGAATCCAACCTTGCCAGAAATGGATTTAGCTCCTCTAAACAGACAAGTATAAATAATTTTCCCAGATCCTCATCGATCTCCTTAAGATTTCCAACATAGCTCGTTATCAGCTAATAAGACAAATAAAGAGATTGAGTTATGACAAAGACTATTAAAAGAAGAATCCAGAAACTCTGTTTGGAAATCAAAATAACACTGAAGTCGTAATTCACCTTCTTTTATATCAATTTTCAAGATTCATTTGCTGATTCATTAAGGGAATAACAAGGAAAACCACATAGTACTTTTCGGCTTAGTCCCTTTTATTAATTTTTATTAATCCTTTAATTTTATTAATCCTAAAACTTTATTAATCCTTTATTAATTCAGGGTCGCCACAGAGGAATGAACCGCCAACTTATCCAGCACGTTTTTACACAGCGCATACCCTTCCTGCCGCAACCCATCTTTAAGATACATCCACACACACACACACACTCATTCACACTCATACACTACGGACAATTTAGCCTACCCAATTCACCTGTACCACGTCTATGGACTGTGGGGGAAACCGGAGTACCTGGAGGAAACCCACACGAATGCAGGGAAAACATGCAAACTCCACACAGAAACGCCAACTGACCCAGCCAAGCCTCGAACCAGCGACCTTCTTGCTGTGAGGCGACAGCACTAACTACTGCTCAACTGCGTCGCCCACATAGTACATTAACCAGTTAAATTAATTTGTACTACAAAATTGTGTGTGATTAAGACAATTAATTCATATAAATATATTACTATTTCCCTGTAAGGTTCTTTTGGAAACCAAAAATGTTTTTCTGCAAAAATAAAATAAAATAAAATAAAATAAAATAAAATAAAATAAAATAAAATAAAATAAAATAAAATAAAATAAAATAAACTTTCAAAGTGATGGGTTGCAGCTAGAAGGGCATCCATTGTGTAAAACCAGCCTGAAGTATTTTACGTTTTGCCAGTTTAGTGGCTAATTCGTACGAATTTGTTCAGTCCTACAAAAATGTACGATTTTAAAAAGGAGGCGTGGCTACCGTCATAGGGCGATAAGCAAATCGTACTAAATTGTACTAATTTGATCATACGAATTCATAAGAATGAGCCACTAAATCAAAACGTTACAAATTGCCGTGAGATTGTGTTGGTAAAACATGTGCTGGATAAGTTGACGATTCATTCTGCTGTGGTGACCCCAGATTAACAAAGGGACAAAGCCGAAAAGAAAATTAATGATTAAATGAAAATAAAATAAACGTTTAATCATTAGAGCAACTGAAGGTTCACCTGACAGATATTTGTGTGGATGTTTGAAGTGAGGAATCCATTTTCTGTTTTATCAGGAGTTTTCTTCAATTTCCACACGTCTTTTTCACATCTGATAATATTCTCCAGTTCAGATTTAAAATCATCCTAACATCAAATAAGATATCAGAGTTGTAATCATCACTGATGTGAAGTAGTTCTATGTGGTTGCACTAGCTCACCTTTTGACACTGACAGTATGAGCTCTTTATTTTATTTAGCAAGTCTTCCTGTATTATAGGAGCTGCCTTGTCTTCCTGGTCACTGTGTGCCCTAAACAAGCTACCAAAAAACAAGCGAATATTACAGGGTTAGTTCACTCAGAAATGACTTTCATTCATCTTCAGAACACAAATCATAATATTTTATATAAAATCTGAGAGCTCCATCATCCTCTGTGGACAGCAACGTTCTGAGAGATTCAAAGTCTATAAACATACCGAAAACACTGTCAAAACATTGCATGTGACTTAAGTGGTTTAACTGTAATCAAACAAACCCCCAAGAACACTTTTGTGTGCCACAAAATGGTAAAAAATCGCCTATAGTATATCATCCAAATCAGATCAGAGAGTGTGTTTATTGCAAACAATACAATTTTGCTGACTCTAATGGTGATATACAGTGAGTAATAGTTCAGAATAACCACTACTGCCGAGTCTGATGCCATAGTGAGACAAATTTGTTTTAGGTGTAACAAAGGGATGGGAAATTTACAGAAATTTACAGCAGCTGTAAATACCCTGCTACTTAGAATGAAAAAGAAATATTAAAACAAAACATTAGAATTGCCAGCAGCTAGCTCTCTGCAACTCTCACATGGTCGGTTGCTGAAGCTGAGTAGGGCTGCTCCCGGTTAGTTGCTGCGTGGGAGACCACTTAGGAATACTGGGTTGCTGCCAGAAGTGGTTTTAATAAAGCCAGCATGGGGGCGCTCAACCTGCGGTCCGTGTGGGTCCTAATGCCCCAGTATAGTGATAGGGACTCTATACTGCTCAGTGAGCACCATCTTTCGGATGAGACGTTAAACCGAGGTCCTGACTCTCTGTGGTCATTAAAACCCTTTAAAAAAGAATAGGGGTTTAACGCCGTCATCCTGGCCAAATTTGCCCACTGGCCTCTGTCCATCATGGCCCATATCATAGTTGGCTTCATCACTCAGTCTCGTTTCCACCATGCAGCATGGTGTGTGGTCTGATGCTGCACACTGGAGGTGGATGAGGAGATTTCCCTCAATGTGTAAAGCGCTTTGAGTATAAAAGAGCTATATAAATGTAAGGAATTATATTATTATTATTATTATTAATCCTTCATAAATTATTATAAACTTAAGCTTTATTATCATTGTAACTTGCTAAGTAATATGATGAATATTTTGGAAATCAAAACAAAAAAATTAAAGACAACTAAAAGGAAAGTACTAAACATAAATAAATAAATAAATAAATAAATAAATAAACAAATAAATAAATAAATAAATAAATAAATAAATAAATAAATAAATAAATAAATAAAGCAGTGTTTTAACCTAAATATAGAAATTATTTTTGTAATTGTAATTGTTAATTTACAGTGTACTTGTTAGGGTTGTCACAGTACTGAAATTCAGTACCACTCGATACTGAAATTTTAAAAACGTCTGTTTCTCGCTAATATTTGAGCGCTGTTATCAAGTTCTTAGACACCGGTGATTTGCCATTATGTTAATGTGCTCATCAGAATTGACTGTGATTGGCCATGAAGGTCATTAGTTCACCAAACGTACCACTGTTTGCTGAGTGTAAACTTAAATACCGGGACACTGGATTGTTTTAAAGCCGTGATTCATCAGCAAATTGTTCATATGTCAGCTTAGAGAAACAAGCTGATCAACCTGATTTTGAAACGTTCCACTTGGAAATCGCTAATAATACTGTCAATTTTACAGCAATTTTTTACAGTGTAGTATTTCCCGTAGTAAACACATACCCTGATGCAGATATAGGCAAAGTCATTTTTACTGAATTTTTTTTTTCTGCACACCAAAATGACTGAATTAATTTTTTGGCACACCAAAGGAATTTCGACTATATATATTTTTTCCTTTTCTGAACCTTAAACATCTCATGACCATTGCTTTCAAAGGAGGATAAGAGACCCCTATAAGATTTCATTTAAATGCCCCAGTATATTAATCTGTGTTGAATGAAGATGAAGGAAGGTCTAACATGATTAACAAAACTAATTTAATAACAAAATTATTTTTTGGGTCAACAAACCATTTAAAATTACTCAGATATTTGTCTTTTTTTCTGTAAACCTCACCTGGGGAAGCGCTGAATGGTGAAGTCTAGAAGAACTTTGTAATCCTTTAGCTCTGTCATGTTTTCCAGAAGTTTCTTTAAATGCTCTTCTACAGCCTCATGATAGCATGTAACATATGTCTCAAGCACATTAAAGTTTTTTGGATACAAGCTCAGAAGTTCAGTCTCCACTCTCTCCAGATCATCCACCACAGCTTTACCCAGAAGCTCCAGATGCACTTCGAAAGAACAATCGTTCTGTTTGTGGGTGTCCAGGGTAAGATTCTTCAGTGTATCTCGAACTCCATCTTGCACCGCGTCCCTCCATGATTCCCTCCATCCCGGCATCGCTCCTGGCTCTACCTGTTTCTCTTTCTCTTCTTTGATAATGTGTGCTGCATACTCCAGTAGCTCTTTATTAAAAGAGGGCTGAAAACTAGAACGCACAATGTCAGATATTTTGTTTCTTAGAGTCTCAAATAGGATATTAATATCCTTTTCTTTATTCACTAGATTCACAGGAGAAGCTCCTTCTTCCTGGGGTTTCCGTTCACGCTGGAGCTCCAGGCGCATGGCTTGCAGGTTCACATAGGCCTCCTTTAGCCTGTCTTTTTGTATATAATCTCTGATCTCCAAAACTGTTTATAAAATAAAGTAAGAATGAGTTAAACGTTCTATAGGTAAAAGGGGGCATTTATTTTATTGTTACCACAGCAAACTGATGGACTTACCTGAGCATGGCCTCAGAGGAATCTCTGCGGTAATTTCTTCCTCTTTACTTATTGATAAAGAATGCTTTCGGGACTGTTTATATTCTTTACGTTCACTGCCACTTTTTGTAAACAAAGACAACCTGCGAAAGATGGTCTGCACTGTGCAAACACAGAACATATTTTAACAAACTGTACAATTAAAAATATGTCATACGATGTATTAAAAAAAGATCAACACTTTTACTATCTAAACAATTTCATAAACTAATATTAACACTTGTTTTCGATCTCAGAAATCTATAGCTGCATTTGAAGACAAAATTATTAGGCCTTTTATTGTGAAATTTTTAACACATTTTTAAACATAATAACTAAAATGAATTCTTTTTGTGTATTGCCTGGATGATGTGCAATTTAAAGGCTTTAATTTGCCTACCCGGCTTTAATTTGCCAACCCGACTCTACATCATAACATCATAACTTTTCAATCCAGATGGATGGGGCAACCATTACTGCATCCAAAACGGCGAAGAGCCTTGGAGTAACGATTGATGACCGACTAAACTTCTCTGACCACATTTCTCGAACTGTTCGATCTTGCAGATTCGCACTCTATAACATCAGAAAGGTCCAATTATTCCTATCTGAACATGCAGCTCAACTCCTTGTTCAAGCTCTTGTGCTCTCCAGACTGGACTATTGCAACTCTCTACTAGCCGGGCTCCCAGCTAACTCTATCAAACCTCTTCAGATGCTTCAGAACGCAGCAGCACGAGTGGTCTTTAATGAACCTAAAAGAGCACATGTCACTCCGCTACTCATCCGTTTGCACTGGCTGCCAGTTGCTGCTCGCATCAAATTCAAAGCTCTGATGTTTGCTTACAAAGCAACTTCTGGCTGCGCCCCTTCTTATCTGATCTCACTTCTGCAGATTTATGTGTCCTCCAGAAACGTGCGTTCTGTGAATGAACGTCGCCTCGTGGTTCCATCCCAAAGAGGGAAGAAATCACTTTCCCGAACTCTCGCTGTAATGAAGTTTACGGCCCTTTGGCCGCCGGAAAGAAGGAGGCGGAGAACCGACGTAGTTTAAAATATTTATTTATAATATGAACAAAACATGCTGGGAGACGGCAGCAGGCAGGTCCTTTCCTCGCCAGCCTCAGGCCGCCCCGGCACTCTGGGCAGACGAACGGGTTTCTCCCCCACTCGGGTTAACTCCCGAACACTCGCCCCCTCTCTCAGCGGCGAGGGCATCTGGACAACGCGTCCCTCCTTCTCCCGGGCTTCGGCACCACTGTAATGAAGTTTACAGCCCTTTGGCCACCGGGAAGTAGAAGGCGGAGAACCGACGTAGTTTAAAATATTTACTTATAACATGAACGGCAGCTCCTCACGGAGACTGCTGTCTAAACCGAAACAAACGGACGGCAGCTGATATCTGAAACTTGCCTACAGCACTTATTCATTGTTGATCTTATAGTTGTGTAAATTGCTTCCTTGTCCTCATTTGTAAGTCGCTTTGGATAAAAGCGTCTGCTAAATGACTAAATGTAAATGCAAATTGATTGGACAACAGACAAATTGTACAACAGTTTTTCTTTTTGTTGTTATGTAGCCAAATTTATATATTTACATTTATTTATTTATACAACAATTCTGTCTGGTTCTCGAATCTGATAGGCTAATAGCCATGAGATATTAAAGTAATATCAGAACTCATATAAGCTCTTTGCCCTAGTGTAATACTCCGCCCACATGAGTGGCAAGCAGAGGACTACAGTCTGACAAATATTGCTGCTGTTGGACAACATAATGTACTGTTGAGGCTTTTTAGGCTAGAATGTAGTTGTTTAGATTGCAACTGTGCAGTTTATTTATAAGGATAGTGCCTATTTTAAATAATTATAATGATGGTAATACAGTGTATCGGCATCCTGTCATACTTAGCAGAGCAAAGACAGTTGACGTTCCGTCACAAGATGGCGACAAAGACCGCATAATAAGCCCTTAGAGGAGAAAAACTCAAACTACAGCTGATCAAATCATTATAGAGCAGGTAAGTGACTTTCTGAGTTGACCTCTCTGTTTTATGTTGTAGTGCTGTATTTATATCATAGTCTGGTAGTGTTTCTGGTGTTTCTAGTGTATATATCTATTTTTAAGACTTTCTAGAAGAAAACTTGGAAAACATTTGGAAAAAATTCTTTACAGATTTCACAGAAGGGCTAATAATTTTGTCTACACATGTATACTGTAAATATGAAACATTTCATCACTCAGGCATATTAAATACTTTACAATCTGTCAGCATTTGAGTACTGTATTGTATTTTTTATAGGAACATTCATTATAGTTTACACTGTTTTTTAAATTTTGTATTATGTACAGTGCTCAGCATAATTTGGTACACCCCATTTTGAAAATTAATATTTTTATCAGTTTCTCAGTGAATATAGGCAATGTATTTTGGTGCATTTAAACAAAACAGATTTATTAAAAAGATTTATTATTAAAAATAATATTTTAGTCACCGAACATATTTAGAAATTGAAAGATAATACAATTAAATCCAAGCTAAATATTGCAACAAAAAATTACAACCTAAAAAATTTCAACTAAATTTTTTAATTTCTTTTCTCTTGATTTTTCCTTTTTTTTTTTGTATTTAATATTTTTCTATAACATATAAATTTGGCTATACTAGTTTTTGGACCATTATTGTAAGTTATTTTGTTAGAAAAGCTCCAGATTTGGCTTCAGTACTGACTGATCTAATGTGTATGCACAAATATAATATTGTATAGCTTGCTATTAAAACATGAATTTAAAAGATTTGTGAGGGGTTTACTTACTGTATGCTGACCACTGTATATCGGTATTAGTAAATTACAATTATACCTGCATACTCATATATTACAGCAAAACACACCAACGTAATAATCTGTTCATGCGAGGCTGTTTACTTCTATCCTGTTTAATTTTAATGACTGGTTTATTTACCTGAAGAAGTGGGAGATTTGGCCATTGTTAGTCCAATATTAAATTCCCATGAAGTGTTTCTGCAAGTACTTGAGCTAGAATGACAGTTAAATATCAAGCAACATTAGTCAGTCTTCTCATGTTGATGGTGACTTTATAACTGGTTAGTTAATTATTCACAAAAAAAGAAGAGGTTTCAGCCCTTTTTGTACCTCACAGTGCTTACACTAAACAAACAAAGACTCTTTCTACAATTTAACCTACCAGCAAGTCACTAAACCTTTAAAATAATTGCAGCAACAGCAGTCCCGGTCTGTAATAGGGGAGGCTTATGGTAATAAACTAGGCTACAGTATTAAAAATGTGAGCAGAGAAAAGTGTTGCCACTACTTTTTGATTCTCTCTTATTATTGCTAAAAAGTAAATGGCATTTGTTTAGATTCTAACATCAACATTACCTGTTTAAAAAATTAACTGTTTATTTATTTTTTTTTTATTTAAAGAGAAAAGAACACAGCATGCTAATAGTGTAGCTCTTACCTGAGACTTCGGTGATATGTTTCTTTTCTCAGAATAGCCTGTAAGGCAAGGACTAGTTTCACTTTCACCTATACTACTTCACAGGTATGGACACGTAGGACAGAAATGCCACAGTAAGACTATTATCCCAAGAAGAACTGTATTTGGTGAGTAATAGCCTACCTTTTTTTTAAATGCATCATTTAAAAGCCAAACACAAACATGCAGCCAATAGATATTTAACGCATAGCCGATAGACATAGCTATTACAGTGTTTACCTCAGTTTAGTTGACAGAACGTAAAATATCTAGAAATATAGCAGTTTAATAATATTATACAATGTTTAATATACACTAAAACACCTTGTTGACTTCTTATCTGTATAACTCTTACAGGCTACAGGAAACTAACGATGCTTTGCATAACTATTTTTTCTCTTTTAGTTGTAGACAGTTGTATTTCCATAGATTAAAGGAATCTGAAAGTGATGTGTAATCATTTTACAAAAACAATGAAGTCAGTAAATCCTGTATAGCCTAAAACTCGGCGCTGAATCTGAAACTATACAAAGATTTGACCCTCCTGCGCTCATGCGCAGCTTACATTCCGCCTTCGGTGGCGTTTCAAGGTGAATATGAGAACTTCTGTTGGAAGCGTCAGGGATTTTCTGTAGTTTCGCACAGATGGGAAAGTTAGCCAGCTATGGTTAAATTTCGCGTTACAACGGGTCGGGGTAGTTTGTGTGCCAGCTGTATGATTTCCTCCTACATTTAAGTGAAAGTACCAGACACTGACGACTTTGGAACTCAGGTGAGTGTGGGGCGGGCTTTGTTATGCAATGTCATGTTAACAAACAAATATGTAGGCTACTGTTGCAAAGAAATGATGGTTTGTTTTTAAACGATCAATAAAACTAACTGACCTTCAAAATGAAAGTTTGAAGCTGAGATCTTGTTGTGCCTCGGTGAGTGCTTTAGGTAGGCTACACTATTTATTAGCTTATAGCATTATTAAGGCAATGCTTCCTTCATAACTCATACTTCATGACTTACAAGTAGCCTATTTAACATTTTTAAGTGAAAGAACGGGCTCAAAGTACATGCAAAGTGCATGTAAATAATATTTTATTAAAACTTAAGTTGCCCTTAATAACATGTATTTTAATAGCCTATATTAACCATGTTGTTTTTCATTGAGGTAAAGCTGGTTTTACATTCGCACATTCATTCATTTAACTGTCTCTATATTCACTAAAAAAATGCAGGGTTCCACACAATTCATTCACTTTGTCCCAACACAAATCAATTAAGTTAGCATACTTTTAACACATTTATGTGGATTGAACATTAAAAAAGAAATCTCAATAATTGTGATATTTCAGCTCATTTTAATTAAGTAGTTTGAACAAGCAAATATATATATATATATATATATATATATATATATATATATATATATATATATATATATTTATTTATTAGGTTTTTTTTGTGTTGTTTACCACGCTAATTTGAATATTCGCTCAGTATTAGCATGCAGGTATGAATTCAAAACAACATTAACACTATTTAATTGACTGTAAACAATGCTGTCCTTTGATAATCATTGGGTGATAATATGATTTCAATATTTCGAATACTTTTCTGAAGTTATATTAATAAGGAGAATGTCTAAATATCCGAATATAAAACCAACTTTACCTCTGTGTTATTTTCTGGTGCACTGAATACCTTTTGTAACCACAATTTTCAAACAAAAGTCATAGTAAAGGTTAAATCCATAGTTAATTTGCTAATAACATAATCAAACATGACTAATTTAATATGGTTTTGCAACATTAAGCACAGTTTTACCTTGGTATTTCTGGGCAAATCTAAGTCAATGCATCAAAAACATGTTTACTGTGTCATGAGTTTATTATTTACTTGAACAGCAATAAAATAGGGCATTGGAGTTCAGTGTAAGCAAAAGGGAAGTTAAAAGAACTGGACATTGTGTGTGTGTGTGTGTGTGTGTGTGTGCGCGTGGGGGGGGGTTGATTTGAATGAATTGAATCTATTTAAGGTTACATTTTAATTGAAACAGTTGCACTTTTAGACAAAATAAGAAAGTAAAATGTTTTCTACATTTTGACTTAAAAATAGGCTAACCTAGATGTTAGTTATTTGCATCTGTAATACACTCAAAAAAAATAGTTTTTGCTCGTTCAAACTGCTTATTTAAAATGAGCTGAAACAACACAATTCTTGAGATTTCATTGCGACAACTTATTGTTTTATGTTCAATCCATATAAATCTGTTAAAAGTGTCAAGTTAACTTAATTAATTTGTGTTGGGACAACATGAATAATTGTGTGTAACCCTGCATTTCTTTTACAGTGTAATGGTCTATTAACAGATCTGTAAAAGAATCGAGTAGCTTTGTAAATCACTTTGGATGAAAGTGTCTGCTAAATGTAAAAACAATATGACTTCATGTTTTTTCTGTTGTTATGACAACGTACATGATTCCACCACAGTGAAGAAAAGCCATGTTGTCAGTAAATAAAAATCTCCAGAGTTCACGATGTCCCTGCTGATAGATTCAACAGTTGCATTCTCACACTTGGCTGTAGCGGTCAAAAACATTCAACTTTTATTTAAAGTTCTTGATTTTTCCTGCAGGCTTGATCCAACTTACATTTGCTATTATGGCAGAAACTGTGAAAGAAGAAGTAGACGAAGCAAATGAGGTTAATGACCTTCCAGAATGGCATGAGGATGCAAAAGAGAGTTTAAAAAATGGTGGAGAACATATGGAAAGCCCAGTCAAGCAGAAGAGCACTGGACTTATGAAGTCATTCAGAGCAAGTTTAAAAAAAGTGGCCAGCCCTATGAAAAACAAAAAGCCAGAGAATACAAACAACGGACAAAGCCAGATCTCAAATGCTCAGTTACAACCGCTGCACTCTCCAAGTAAGTGTATAACCACTTGATTTGATGTAAAAAAAATATTCTTGTGTTAGTAGTCTGTTGTAATAAAACAGAGACTGTACTCATAAAGTATAGTAACCCAGTTTGGTTTTACTAAATAGTATATCAAAGAATTAAGGAACCATGTGAAATGTCAGCTTGTTGAACACATGGTAGTTGCATGTTTATTTGCTTTTGATTAGATTAAATATCTGACATGTTTCTTTTTTTAGGCTTGATCACAGGATCTCCAGGACAATCTTCCTTTCGAAGTCCAAGGACAGAAAAACCTCCTCTTACCAGAACTATGTCAGGTGGCTGCTCTCTGCATGTCATTAGATTCACCTCTAGACAAGCAAAATGTGATTTAAGCTATCATGGGTGGATGTGTTGATATTAGTTGTTTAATAACAATTTAGAAATAGTGATTGTTTAAATATTTTAGGAGTTAAGCCATGCTTGTCTTTAAATTATGAATATACATTAATTAAATAGGTCTAAAAAGGGACATACAGTATACAGCATACAGTATACAGGTGATATAATTAGAATATCTTCAAAAAGTTGATTTATTTCACTAATTCCATTCAAGAATATAATGGTATTATATATTGTATAATGTATACATTCATTTCACACAGACTAATAAATTTCAAATGTTTATTTTTTTTTATTTTAATTATTATAACTGACAACTAATGAAAATCCCAAATTCAGTATCTCAGACATTAGAATATTATGATATATATGTGTATATGTATATAGTTGAAGTGAGAATTATTAGCCCCCTTGTTTATTTTTTTCCCCAATGTCAGTTTAACGGAGAGAAGTTTTTTTCAACACATTTCTAAACATAAAAGTTTTAATAACTCATCTCTAATAACTGATTTATTTTATGTTTGCCATGATGACAGTAAATAATATTAGACTAGATATTTTTAAGATACTTCTATAGAGCTTAAAGTGACATTTAAAGGCTTAACTAGGTTAATTAGGTTAACTAGGCAGGATAGGGCAATTAGGCAAGTTATTGTATAACAATGGTTAGTTCTGTAGACTATCGAAAAATATACAGCTTAAATGGGCTAATAATTTTATACCTAAAATGTTTTTTTTATTTTATTTTTTTTTATTATAAACTGGTTTTATTCTAGCCGAAATTAAACAAATAAGACTTTCTCAAGAAGAAAAAATATTATCAGACATGCTGTGAAAATTTCCTTGCTCTGTTAAACATCATTTAGGAAATATTTTGAAAAGAAAAAATCAAAGAAGGGCTAATAATTCTGACTTCAACTGTGTGTGTGTGTGTGTATGTATATATATATATATATATATATATATATATATTATACGTTATATTTTTTTTAATATTAAGTTTTTTTCTGATCAGTCAAATGTTTTTTTGGATATTATTTTCTAAATTTGTTACACATTATGTTACAAATAATTGCATAAACTGTAACTGTTAATTTTATTCTTAGATTCTGATGTTATAACACTGCAAAAGAAGGGCTCATCGATCAGGCGGAGTTTGGGTCTGAGTAAAAAACCCAAACAGGAACCACTTGTCACTGTCACAGAAGCCATGCCTCTATCAGAAGAGCCAAAACCCGAGGTTGCTGATGAATGTGAAGGCCAGATGGTGTTGGAGCTCAGAGACACATATGTTCTGCCGGAGATCCCAGCAATGCCTTTGTCAGGTATGATTGTCTGACAAGTATAAAGTGTGTCTCATCTTGGGTTACTTAGCTTTCTCATTGTTCAAAACCCCACTTTAACATAGAAGCATGGTTTCCCTGGTTAACAATTAAGGCAAACCCTGCATTGTTGTGCAACAGATCTGGGAACAGATGTGAATATTAATTAGTGCCTGATGCTTACACACACACACACACACACACACACACACACACACACACACACACACGCAAAATACTCATACCTCAGTTGTCAACTATTAGCTAGTAGGAGTGAGTGAGCTATTCCTATGCTAAACAGTAACTTAGTTTCCTCCAAGGCTAAATTATAATTATACTCAACAAAAGGGGCCGCCAATCAGGGGTGGACTAAGTGATTTGGAGGCCCTAAGCAATTGCAGGTATGGGACCCTATAGCAGTTTTGAAAAATAAACTGCATGTTGTATAAATATTTAAAGTATATTTTATATATTTTTTTAATATTTAAAGGAACTTTTATCTTTCTAATGTACAATTAAAGGCAATAAATTAAAAAATAATGTTTTGGCCAGACAACAGGATCGTGGAGGAAGCTGCATCTCATTGTTTGTCGTATTTTTACTTTCCCCCCCAAACGTTCTCAACATTCTCACTCTTGCACACTTTACCTGCCTCTACTCTGATTGCTGGCAGACTGGTGTCACTACAATCACCGTGATTGTGAACAACAGCAAGAAAAGAATAATGTTAAAAGGTCCATTTAAACTAGTACATTTAAAACAGAGGAGCAGATTGGTTTAACTGTACCAGGGGAATTAGTAATGTGACGTTGTGCGCCGAGGCTTTGAAGCTTGCATCAAAAAAAGATTCGTCTGGCAGTGAAGCAGTGTACCAGAGTTAATCGTTTTGCCATAATCACGTGATCAGTGACGTCCGAAGCTTCGTTTTCGCCTATACCCACATGACTGCTTCGAATTTTGATTCAAAGGTTTTAACACCCTCTGGGGTTAGTATAGTGTGTCGAGAGATTAGGCGTCGATTACATACATTTCTACTGTTTCAAAGCCCTGCACCGGTCCCACACACCAGTAATTAAACTAAAATACAATAGTAATTTATGGTAAAAAGGTTTTGAACCATACCTAAGTGTGTTAACATATTTTTTACAACCATCTTTTAAGAAAAGCACTGCATATCGTAATATAGTGTTTAAAGGAGGCCAACCGGCTAGTGCAGCCCAAAAGCATCACTCTCAAAGCCTCCTCGTTAGAGCATTCGCCTCCCATGCAGGATTCGCCGATTCGATCCCCGCTTGGAACAAGTAGGTGGGTGAAGGACTAGTTGGAATACTAAAAATGTAAATTCTTTTGAATACCTTAGATTTTACTATTCATCGGTGGTGTAATGTAACATACGTTATGTGTAAAAACTACAGTAATTGAGTAGTTTGTTTATATTACTGTTGTTGTATTACTACATGAATGAGTTGGTCAGTTGTGGACATTTGACATTATTGCAACACAGTGCTTTCCCACACTTTAACGAGGTCCTCATTGAGCTCTGATTTAGAAAGCTTCGAGTAACGAACCTTTTCCGATACAGTTGAGTCGAGCACTTCACTGCTTTAGAAAGCTTCATTTCACCATCACTAAGGGAAAAACCTTGCTGGGCTAAAACATTTGCCGTCGGTATGCAGATGAATGATCTGCTGTGAGGCACTGTGCCGCCTTTAAGTGCTCTGAGGCGGGGGAGAAACCTGCGACATCACCTGCAGCTCATTACGAAGAGTAACATTAGGAATGGCACAGACACATGAGAGGCTCTAAAAATCTCCAGTAACAACTAAAAACATTCACTAGTCGCTTTTGAAAATTTGGCGAAAGTAGGGTCTGAAAAGCAGCTAGGTTTGCAACACTGACTGGCAGTGTACTTGATTGAAGCACTGCGTTCACACTTTGCGCATGTGCAGTATAGAAGGAATGTTCCATTATTCATGGGGGTTTCCGGTTTTGAAAAAAAGTTAATAGCGTTAAAATTCTAACAATTATAGACAGATATTACAACATATGATAGAAAATGTATAAAAGAGCTATATAATTAATATAGGCTTCTTGGCATTGGTTTGGGGCCCCTAATTTCCTTGGGCCCTAAGCGGCTGCTTACCTTGCTTATTGGTTAAGTTCTCCCCTGCCGACTATGAGTTGTTTAGAATTGTATGTTGTGGGTTTAATGGATATGAGCACACAGGCAAGAATTAATATCAACCTCCACATAAACAGATGAGTTTTTGAAATTATTGGCAAATGTGCATTTAACACTCTATATATTCAGCAGTCTACATGTGTTTGTTGCCTCATTACAAACATGTGAGAAATTCCACAATTTACACATTAAACTGAAAAAAGATACAGTTAAACAAACTTCATGTATGCCTCTCTGAGGGTGCTGAAATTCAGCATTTTCTATCTGATTATGGGCTGTGATGAGATGACATACTCCATACCTATTGCATTACATGAGAGCTCTATGATGACAGTCTTGTTTACCAAATAAGAGACCCACATACATTTTAAGTTTGATACAAGCTTGGATAAACTTAAAAATAAGGGGGGAATATTGTTGTAATGTCACTAGGCAAAAAGCCAATCAAATGCTGCCTGAGACATTCATATTAATGATCCCATGTGGATCATCACAGTGTTTTGTTTAGATTGGCCTGTTTTTTACTGGGATTTTACGCTCACAGTATTTATATGAGATATTTAAAAGGATGTTTAGGGCTCACGATATGTCGTTTACATCCACTGAACTTTTAATATTCAACTTTGCCTACGGTAGGTATATTCAGATTTTCATTCTATAGCACCTTTAAGTTTTATAGTTAGTCATGATGGTACAGTAAGCAATGTAATTTAATTACAAAACAAGATTGAAAATATGCTTACATGAACATTAACCTAGAATTTCTGAATGGTAGTGTGAAACAGAACATGAGTACTATAGCAAAATATTTTTGGAACTGTACGTCTGAACATGTGTAAACATGTCTTAGAGTGAACTCACAATGCAAGTTCAATGCAAGTACTGTGTTCAGTATCTGCAAAGGACATCACATGTGCTGACATTGCCCTGATCATAAGATTATATTCAGAATCAGGCAGAGATCTGACAAAAGATTCCACACTGAAGTATTGTAACTGCTGAGTGTGTCGTTACAAGAATTTTCTTTTTGACCTTTTATTTTCTGATTTGCTGCAGTTATGGAGATTAACAAACTGATAGAGATGGAAGTTTTAGAAGAGGCCTATGTGAATCTACTCTCTCTACGCCTGGAGCTTCAGCAACAGCGTAAATCTCAGAATCAAGAAGACTGTCCGATTGAACTCGTCCATAAAGAGAAAGATCTCAGTTTGCTTTATGGTACACTACGGAATAAAATGTCTGACATTGTACGCAACTCAAGTACTCTGCCTTCTCGCAATAAAGAACTGCTGGTGTATGTAGCATACATTATCCTTGAGGAGGAGAAGAGGCAGGATGAGCCAGGAGCGATGCAGGGATGGAGGGAATCGTGGAGGGTTGCGGTACGGGATGGTGTTCGAGATACACTGAAGAGAGTTCACTTGGACACCCGTGAGCAGAACATTTCCTGGCTGGCAGTGCACCTGGGGCTTCTGGGTAAAGCTATACTGGAGGATTTGGAAAGAGTGAAGACTGAACTTGTGAGCTCGTATCCGCCAGAATTTAATGTGTTTGAAACATATGTTTCCTGCCATCATGAGGCTGTAGGAGAACATTTGAAGACACTTCTGGAAAAAGTGACAGAGCTGAAGGATTACTACGCTCTTCTAGATTTCATTATTCATCGCTACCCCAGGTAGGGTCAGTTTTTCTTTCTGTCTGTCTTTATGTTTGTTAAAAAAATTGCATTGCAATTTCCTCTGACTGAATAGCTGAATAATATAAGTCACATTCAGCAGTGGTTCCCTCCTCATTGGAGATCCATGCTTGGTGAGTTAAAGTTTGAGAATAGTGCTAGTATGGGCTGTCAGTTGCTGACTTAAGGCTGATTTATACTTCTGCATCAAGTGCACATGGATGGTCTAGCGCAGTGTTTCTCAACCACGTTCTTGGAGGACCACAAGCTCTGCACATTTTCCATTTCTCCTTAATCCAACACACCTGATTTAGGTCATTAGCTCATTAGCAGAGACCAAAAGACTTGAAATGGGTGTGACAGACAAAAGGAGACATTTAAAACCTGCAGTGTTGATGGTCCACCAGAAACACTGGTCTAGCGCAACCTTTGTATAGTCACATACCCTTCAACCTGGCTGACGCAGATGCTGACAAGCACCTCTCAAAAAAAAAAAATAGGTTACTGTTATGAAAAAACATTAAACGAGATAAAACAATTATTGCATCATATATCACCCCCTTTCCAGTTGTACACATGCTCATTAACCCTAAATTAATATTAATTGGTACAGTAGGCGATATACTATTGAAAACTTTTGATTACAAAAGGTCACGTAAATCAATTACCAGAAAGGTGTATTCTTGTCCATCATCTCATCCACTAGTCAGTTATAGTAGTGTAAATTATTGTGTGTCCTGGGGAGTTCAATTGTGAAGTTTTTTTGCACTACCATGAACATCACTGTTCCTCAAACTTCCAGATGAATTGTCCCCAGACCAATGCCCTTCTTGGTTTGGATTAGATGGTACACAGATGGCCCCAGGGTGTGCACAAGTATGCATTCCACCATGTGTGTCTGCTCATACAGATATTGTGCAATTGTGCATGGTTAGAAAAGACAAGGAGCAGGTTATGTTGGTTGCGTCTTACTAGCTAAGCATACCATTTCAAGCCTGAAGCTCTTCACAACAGCACCTTTCTTGCAGGTTGCCCTGAGGAAGGGCTTTATTTCTCAAGAACAGGACCCAATATGGGACCATGAGTGTTGTTTTTGTGAAATTAAAGATTGTTCTGTGTACCTTGAAGGTCTATATTGATGCTTATCATGATGCAGTGACCTGTTTCAGGTTCCTGAGAAGTGCTAAGAGGCAACTTTCCTTATGATTTTGCAATATGTGTTTTTATTTCACAAACAGCTATCATTGTTTCTTGCTTTGGGCCACTGCACCTCAAAATGTTTGCGCATGGCAGGTGGCTGCTTCAGTCTTCAGTGTCATATGATCTTTCAGAAACATCGTTATATGCTGATTAGATGCTTAAGAAACATTTTTGTGTGATTATTAGTGTTGATATCTATGGTGCTGGTCCATAATTTTGCAAACTATAAATAATAGTAATAATTTATAAGGATGTGCATTAAGTAGGGCTGCACAATATATAGTTTCAGCATTGATATCACAATGTGATCATTCGCAATAGTCACATTGCAGAATATGCGGTGTTGAGTCTGGATTACAACGGATCATTTTGCAAGTGTTTTTTTAGGCATGTTTTTACGCCTGTGATGGATTTTAAAAACATTCAGGCATCAGAAATTGTATTTGTATTGCATTTTTTTGTAACTTTAAAAAAGTATTAATGATTAATTTTATTGAATTGTTTATATAATGAAGACTATGCTGTGTTATTTTCAGTGGTGGAGAGAGTACTGAAAAATCATACTTAAGTAAAAGTACCATTACTTGCCTAAAAATGAAGTGCACGTAGAGTAAAAGTATCTGTTGTAAATGTTACTCAAAGTATGAGTAAAAAGTAGACCTTTCAAAGTACTCAAGAGTAGTGAGTATTATGGGAGTATTATGCTGTAAAAAGCTGATGCATTTACATGTAATTTGTGGACGTTTGTAAACGTAACATTCTGTAGTGCATTTAGTTTTTGCCACAACGTCAGAAGATGTTAATATTAGGTTAGATTTAGGTTGTGATGTCATGTGACCAAAATTTAATGTCTAGCCAGCGTCTAAGGATACCGTTGTTTTGACGTCCAATAATGATGTCAAATGACAATGTTGATATTTGGTTTATTTTAGGTAGTTAGAAAGTCACTAAAATCCAACATCGAGCCAACATCTTAAACCAACGTCATATTGACGTCAAATACTGACATTTATTTATCAGATATGGCAAAAAAAATCCAACTTCTGATGGACGTCATAGTGGTAACGTCCACACAATGTCAAGCTGTAACATCATTAGAAGTTAATATTTGGTTGATTTTTAGGTTGGACATTAATGTCAGCCTGATGTTGGGGTTTAATATCAACCTGATCTTCATTCTCAAACAAAATGCAACGTCCCCATGATGTTAGGGCACAATGTTAATCTGACGTCATGTTGACGTCTTGTGCCAGCTGTGTGTTTAAGGCCGTTTCGGTCATCATACAGTAAACATTGGTCATCTTTTCATCAGTGACATGCATCTAAACACTCTCTGGGTCAATGTGTGTACAGATTTTGGACATCTTCTTGGACACTTTTAATGCTTCCAAACAATTTGCTGCAATTATAAATTTTCAATGATGTTCGAGGTAGTTCCTTTTGATGCGATTTACCTTATGTATGTAATTTGGACAGAAATCACAGGACTGATTTTTCTAATCCCCATAGACAAGAAAAAATAAAGTAGTGACTGCAGGTTGAAGGAAATGAGTGGAGTAAAAGTTCCAATACTGCACTAAAAATGTACTCAAGGGAAAGTAAAAGTCAACATTTTTTAAAACTAATTAGTAAAGTACAATTCCTGAGACAAAAACTGCTCAATTACAGTAGTTTGAGTATTAGTAATCTGTTACTTTACACCACTGCTTATTTTACATTTGATTATTCCTCTGAAAACAGTAAAACACTGTTTGTTTAATTAGTATTTTTTACTTTATTGAATTATCTACGCTTGTAGATTGTTTTTTATATTTTATGCAGATGGATCTATATTGATCAGTTCTTTCCAAATAGTTATTCTAGTGAAGTACTAGTGAAATTGTATTCATATGTAGCAGAAAAAAAAAATCTCAATTGTATATTTTTCCAATATTGTGCAGCCCTAGCTTTAAGAGTTAGAAGTATTCAACATTTGTTTTATGACAAAATGAGATTAATTGCTGATGTGTAGGTATTTTAAGGGTTACAATTATGTCTATTACTAAAACTGTAATTAACTGTGGTTTCCTCAGTGAGAAGATAATGGGAAGTACCTCTCTGCAGCCAGAGGTGAAGGAAGATAATAGAGCTCTCCCACTGGACAATGATTTCCTTAATCAGATCAAAATGAAATACTGCAGTCGCTTACAGGTGAATAAAAAAGCACATGTCATCTGAGATGATGCTGGTACTGAAACTAGAATGACAGTATGTTGAGATTTTCTAAACTCGTGTTCTCTAAACAGGTTGATATGCGAACATCACTTGACAGGGTTATTGAGTTGGAGAATGAGGAAATTTGGAAGGAAAGAAGAAAACCAGAGATTGATGAGGGAATTTACAGCTCACACATTGACATGGACATCTGGACGGTGAGAATACACACTTTCATTAATAGCTCATTGGTTTTATGTGGAAGACAAATGAGTGTTAAAGGAATTTCCCACATTGATTTACTGTTTATCTGGCCACACACTCTGAAGGTCATTGGTTTACCAACAGAGGGCAGTACAGGACCTCTAGCTTAACTTATAATGACCCTTACACATGTTTGGACACCTAAATCACACTCAGCGTATGAATGTCACTGCATTATATTTCAAATAAAGTAACAAGCACATTAAAGAAAGATAACCTAATCATACTTTCCAAAATCAAATTGTTTTACTTGATATAAAAATAAAACCAACTGGTGGGTTGTGTTTGTAACTATTGTAATATGCTGATGTTATTGTACATTCTAGTTATAAGTACATTCCACTTGCCACTTGGTGTAATTCATGTATTTTTCAAATAAATTCCAGTGACATTCTGACTTGTTAAGTGGTGTGTGTGTGTTTTTCAGTCAATTAAAAGCAAGTCAATAGAAGAATGCAAAAACACATTTAAGCTGTTTATCTTCCCAGAATATTAAAGGGCACGTTCAAGGGTCTAGAAGAATCGATGTGACCCTGGAGAAGGAGGTTGTGCGGTCCTGTTTGGATGAACTGAAGAGCTTTCCAAAAAGGTTTGTCAAAAAGCATTAACATGCTACTTAGCAGTACCAATTCTGCAGCTCTGAAAGCGTTTGTATATGCAATCAATATTTTGTTCATTAAATACTTAACTGATGTATCCGCTATTTAGAGGGCGATTTGACAATTATTGGAGTAAAAATATCAATTTTAGTTTTCCTTTTTTGCAAGTTTATTTTTTTATGTAGATTAAATGGATAGTTCACCCAAAACTGAAAATTCTGTCATCATTTACTGATCCTTTACTTGTCACAAATCTGTTTGAGCTTCTTTTTTTCCGTTGAGCACAGAAGAAGATGTTTTGAAGAAAGCTGGAAAGCTGTAACTATTGACTTTCATAGTATTTAGTTTTGATCCTATGGATTTTAATAGTTACCAGTTTTCAGAATATCTTCCTTTTTAGATTAGATTAGATTCAACTTTATTGTCATTACACATGTACAAGTATGATGCAACGAAATGCAGTTGAGGTCTAATCAGCAGGGCAATAGCAGCAAGTGCAGGATACAGGTATAAGTTATTAAGTGCAGTTATAGAAAAACTATGGTGATATTTACAGATGGATGTACTATCAACATTATATACAGGTTGTATTAGCTATGAACAGATTTACAATAAATGAATATATTAACAGGTTTCTATTAATAATTAGAAGTGTGCAGATAAATTAACATAATTACAAATGTATATGTATAGTGGATGTGTACATAATTACAGATGTCCATGTGCAGTGGGTATGTACCGTTCAAATAAGTAAATCAGTGTAATGTAGTGCAATGAATATGTGCAAATTTTAAAATGTGCAAATGTTAAATAGTGCAGTGATTTTGAGGAGTTTAAGTTAGAGGAGAGTTGGGGGTGTATTGGGGGCAAAAAGTCAGTGAGGGGCAGAGTTCAAGAGGGAGACAGTTCTGGGGAAAAAGCTGTTCCTCAGTCTGATGGTTTTTGTCTGGGGGAGCCTAAAGCGCCTGCCGGAACGCAGGAGAGAAAACAGTCTATAAGCGGGGTGAAAGGTGTCCTTTAGATTACTGCCTGCTCGGCACAGAAAGTGTTTTCTCTGGGTGTCCTCAATAGCTGGCAGTGTGGTCCCTGTGATGCTTTGGGCAGTTTTCACCACCCGTTACTGTGCCTTACGCCCAGCAACAGAGCAGCTTCCATACCAGACTGTGACGCAGTTGGTCAGGATGCTTTCCATTGTGCAGCGGTAGAAGTTCACCAAGACGGCTGATGAAAGTTGCCTTAAGAAAAATAGGCACTGGTAAGCCTTTCTGACCAGGCTGGAGGTGTTGGTGGTTCAACACCTCCACTTTTAGGATTACCAAATAACTCCTCAAGGTTTGAAACCACTTGAGAGGCAGTAAATAATGAGCACATCACATGGGTGATCTATCCCTTTAAGATGCATTCCCATCCCTGCTGAAAAATCCAGCTTAAACCAGCCTAGGCTGGTTGGCTGGTTTAAGCTGGTCAACTAGGCTGGTTTTAGAGCGGTTTTGGCCACTTCCAGGCTGCTTTCCAGCCATTTCCAGCCTGGTCTTAGCTGGTTAGGCTGGGAGATGACCAGCTAAAACCAGCTTGACCAGCCTAGCAGGCTGGGAACCCAGCCAAAACCAGCTATGTCCAGCTTAAACCAGGCTGGTCAAGCTGGTTTTAGCAGGATTTAGCTGGTCATTTTCCAGCCTGACCAGCTAAGACCAGGCTGGAAATGGCTGTAAACCAGCCTGGAAGTGGCCAAAACCCCTCTAAAACTAGCCTGGTCGACCAGCTAAAACCAGCCAACCAGCCTAGTCTAGTTTAAGCTGGATTTTTTAGCTGGGATGATTATTTCCCCTTACTATTTGGTCAATCAGATGATCTTAAAACTATTTATTTTTAGGAAATGCTAAATTTTATGTCTCATTTTATGTCTCTTTTCCATTGACTGTGTTTGAAGGTTTGAATCAGCGTTTGTGGAGTCCTGCAGGGTTTTCTCGAACTCTTCTCTCTGGGCAGAGTATCACATCAGCTACATCAACAGCTTCAGTGATTTAAAGTAAGTCTTCGACAAGTATGTTTTAATCAAAAGTACCATTACACTCACTAGAAATCAACATAACACACAACCTGCTTTGTAAATCCATTTAGATAGATTATGTTTGGATAATGCCAAGAGGTTTTGAATAGCTAGAGGAAGCAATTTGTCAATCTATAATCTCAAATGCAGTTTTATTTGAGTTTCAGATTAAAATCACTCAGAGAAGACACGAGCGGTTACACACCATGAATAAAAAAAAGCATAACACAAATGATCCATCACGTGGTTTCTAGGAATTTAGGCACCATCAAGGCTATGAGGCAACTGTCAGGGAAAGTCCCTGATGCTTTCCGTGATATTATTTGATGAAACTGAAATGCAAACAAAAGATCTGGCTCTATTCAAATGAAAAACAGGTTTTATCAAAACAATATCACATTACAATGATATCTAAAGTATAACAAAGCAAAGAATACTGTATTATTGTGTTCATTAGTATGTTGCACATCTTTTAATCATTATGGGCTCTATTTTGATGGTCCATGCGCAGAGCGCAAAACGCTCATTTAAGGATGGGAAAATCCGCTTTGCGCCGTGGCACATGGTCTAAAAGGGTTGAGTTTATTTTCTTAATGAGTTATAGGTGTGTTTTGAGAATAAACCAATCAGAGTCTCATCTCCCATTCCCTTTAAGAGCCAGCTGCGTCGCGCCATAAGCGCATTTGCTATTAACATGACGTAAAGTAAGTTCACTTTCTCTTTTGCTCTCGTGGATAGGGAAACCTTAACGCACAGACATCAATTAGCCTATAAATAATTAATTTAGTTGGTTAAGCGCAAAGATTTGTTTCAAAACTATTTCTAAATTCAGTTCTAATTTCCAGCAAACGAATAAATGAACAATAATAACAAAGTGTGGTCAAAATACTGAGTTATTTCCAAATACACCTGCCATGCCCCATATGGTCTAAAACCTGCAGGTGGACAAATCTAAGTTTGTTTTTAATAAAACAAATATAAATATAGATATAATAAATAAAACAGCTAGTAATAATAACATTATACAAAAGCAAATTGAATGAACTGAAAAAGCCTCCCGAGATGATGAAAGTATGAAGGCAGTGGTTTTTAAATTCATGTAGGCTAAAAATTTATATGTTTTCTAATATTTTAATCATTTATATTTATATCCTATATATATATCCTTATTATATATATATCCTTAATATATTATATCTTTTTCATATGTAAAGCTATTTGCGTATTGCTCTACATCTTGTGTGTAGTGTGTAAGCCAGGCGCACTTTGCGCCAGACAATAGACCAAATTTTTTCTGGTCTAAAGATCAGACTATTTACAGTTTCTCAAAATAGCTATGCGCCAAAACACATCTTCTTTTTTAGACCAGAACGCCTATGGGCGCACATATGAGCGCAAATGCATTTTCTATTTAAACAGTGTGGCGCAACCTCTCAAAATGACTCTTGCGCCGAGCTGAAATTAGCAAAAGATTAGCAAAAGACTATTGTGCCGCGCCTTGCGCCACATTGCGCCGGGTGTATGATAGGGCTCTAAGTTTATTGGCTACAACCCAAATAAGCAGTACACTACTGTTTAAAAGTATGGGGCACTGTTTTTTCATTTTAAAAAAATTTAAGAAATTAAAATTTGTATACATCGTTACACCACTATTCCACACAAATATTAAATATTAAACATACTTACACCAGCTTTATTATACTCCATCCAGATTACACAAATTTAAAAACCGTATTTCACCCATCTGCTTCAGATGTAGTATAGAAAAAGGTACATTTTTGCATTCTACATGGCTGTGCCCTAAAGTGAATGTGTTGTGGGTACAAGTATGCAGATTCACGGAATTGATTTTCCATTGGATCCAGAGATATGTTTAAGGGGCAATTACACAAATTCTAACCTCCTGAGTAATTATGCTATTAAACTTACTGAAAGGTTGCTGACAATAGCTAAAAAATGCATTGCTTTAAAATGGTAAACAGACATTGATGTACCAATTGGACTGTGGATCTCAGGAGATTGCAGCTGTATACCATTGGAGAAGATCACATATTTTTTGAGAGGAAAGGGTGAATTATTCAAAAAGATTTGGAATCTAGGCGAGGCAGTGGCGCAGTAGGTAGTGCTGTCGCCTAACACCAAGAAGGTTGCCTCGGCTCAGTTGGCGTTTCTGTGTGGAGTTTGCATGTTCTCCCTGACTTTGCGTGGGTTTCCTCAGGGTGCTTCGGTTTCCCCCACAGTCCAAAGACATGCGGTATAGGTGAATTGGGTAGACTAAATTGTCCGTAGTGTATGAGTGTGTGTGTGAATGTGTGTGTGTGTGGATGTTTCCCAGAGATGGGTTGCGGCTGGAAGGGCATCCGCTGCGTAAAAAAACTTGCTGGATAAGTTGGCGGTTCATTCCGCTGTGGCGACCCCGGATTAATAAAGGGACTAAGCCGACAAGAAATGAATGATTTGGAATCTATTTATGAATTATATTAAAACAGTACCACTTGATTTGATTTGACAAAATAGTTTTTTCCACTGGTTTATACTGTCTTCTCCCTATTTATTTATTTACTTTTACTTTACTTATTTATTTTATATACTGTGTATGTTTTACTTTATTTTGTTTGCTGCTTTGTTTTGATGTTCTGTATCGAGCATCAGAATATGGAAGAAAGATGATTTAAGAGGCTTTGAACTTGGCATCATTGGGCCATACACAGATGGGCTGGTCTGAGTATTTCAGAAACTGCTGATCTACTGGAATGTAAGCACAACCATCTCTAGGGTTTACAGGGAATGGTCTGAAACAGAGAAAATATCCAGTGAGCGGCAGTTCTGTGAGCACAAATGCTTTCTTGATGCTGAAGATCAGAGGAGAATGGCCAGACTAGTTCGAGCAGGTAGAAAGGCAGCAATAACTCAAATAACCACTCGTTACAACTGAGGTATGCAAAAGAGCATGTCTAAATGTACAACACGTCCAACCTTGAGGCGGATAGGCTACAGCAGCAGAAGACTGAGATTCCTGTTAGCTAAGAACCAACCCGGTACTAGTGAGGCTACAATTCGCACAGGCTCACCAAAATTAGACAATAGAAGGTTGGAAAAGCATTGCCTGGTCTGATGAGTCACGATTTGGATTGTAGGACCATGTCTATACCTTTATGACCACAGTGTACCCATCATCTGATGGCTACTTCCAGCAGGATGTATTAAATGTCAATCATCTCAAACTGGTTTCTTGAACATGGCAATGAGTTCACTGTACTCAACTGGCCTCCACTGTCATCAGTACTCAATCCAATAGAGCACCTCTGAGATGAGGTGGAATGGGATATTCGCATCATGGATGTGCAGCCGACAAATCTGCAGCAACTTTGTGATGCTATCATTTCAATATGGACCAAAATCTCTGAGGATTATTTCCAGTACCTTGTTGAATCTATACCATAAAGGATTAAGGCAGTTCTGAAGGCAAAATGGGGTCCAACCCGTTGCTAGTATAGTGTACCTAATAAAGTGACCAGTGGGTGTATATTGTTATGCATACATTGCATATTTTAATATTATAAGTTAAAATCATATTTGTCAACATTATTCTTTTTGTGTTTGTGTTTTGAAATTGTTAAATGCAATAAATGCTGCCTTGCATTGCTTAAGAGACCAAAAGCATGACTACAAACTACTTAAATAATATTATATATTAGAATACATTAACAAAGAGCCAATAGTTTATTCATGGGTGAATTTTTATTTACCAGAATGGACATATTATGATTATGATTATTAATTATTATATTATTATACAATTGTGACTTTTAATCTAATAAAATATTTCTGGCAGACAAAATCAATATAGCAATGTAGAAGTAATAAAATATCTACCAAACCAGATTAAGGAGTGAGCATTTTACACTGCAATCACTTTACAAAATAACTCTTGCCTAAACTCTGCCTATGAATTTCATTCATTCATTCATTCATTTATTCATTTATTCATTCATTCATGCATTAATTAATTAATTTATTTATTTATTAATTAATTTATTTATTTATTTATTTATTTATTAACTAATTCATTCATTCATTCATTCATTCATTTTTTTTCGGCTTAGTCCCTTTATTAATCAGGGGTCGCCACAGCAGAATGAACTGTACACAGAAATTCCAACTAACCCATCTGGGCCACTGTGATGCCCTAAACTCTGTCTAAATTCAGAGAAATATTGCTGTGTGTTTGTATTTTTAATGCTATACGAAAATTGCCTCAGGTGGACTGAAAACACATAAAAAAACTGAAAATATAAACTATTTAAAGGTTTCTATTCTGACCAGCTGACACGAGTGTAAAACTATTTTTGTTTTTCAGAGAGCACATGGAAGGCTATAAGCAAAGCTGTCAGATTCAGCTAGAGCAGGTTCGAAAAGAAATAGACGGACTGACCACCAGACTGAGACAGACTCTGATGGAGCAGTTCAAAACAGATGTCAAGGTGTGAAACAATGCTTAGTGTCATTTATCATTCTTATTTTTTAACATCATCGACAATAGAGGGCATCAATGACTAGCACCCACAACTTACTCCAGACATTCTATCCCGTAGGCGTATACAGTTGAAGTCAGAATTATAAGCCCTCCTGAATTATTAGCCCCCCTGTATATTTTTTCACTTGTTTATGTTTAACAGAGAGAAAAAAATTTCAACACATTTCTAAACATAATAGTTTTAATAACTCATTTCTAATAAATGATTTATTTTATCTTTGCCATAATGACATATGACATAATGATATTTTTCAAGATATAGTATTCAGCTTAAAGTGACGTTTAAAGGCTTAACTAGGTTAATTAGGTTAACTAGGCAGGATAAGGTAATTAGGCAAGTCATTCTACAACTGTGGTTTAATGTCCACAACCCGGGATTGAAGTGTCTTCGTTTATAATTGTACCGACACGCTCCTTTGCTGTTGAATTATGTAGCGATTTTACTGTCTTTATTACAAACATGCACTGTTTTAAAAATGTTTTAGACATGTAAAACTCATTCTTGATCACAGTCGATGATAATTGGTGATCACAGCGAGCTGAACAGAATTTTAAATCCAGTTACTTTGCACATGTCCTGTCTTGTGGATATAATTATTAGAATCATTTTTATCAGAATCAGTTTTGTTGCCAAGTGTGCTTCACACAGACAAGGAATTTGTTTTGGCTACAGAAACTTCCAGTGTGCATAAAGTGACAACACAAAATAAATATGAAAAAAAGACGATAAACATTAAACAGAGATGCACTTAGTCAAAAAGATCTGGATGTTGAATTGTATAGATTTGTTATAAATATACAGGTAACAAGGTGCTGTGTACAAATGCGAATGAAGAAAGTATTGCATTGTATATTGTTATAAGGTGCTGTGTACAAGTGCGTATGAGAAAGTATCACACATATTTATTGCTCAGTATTGAAATATTTACTTGTTCATGAGGTCGATGGCCTGAGGAATGAAACTTTTCCTGTGTCTGGCTGTTTTTGTGCTCGGTGCTCTGTAGCGCCGACCAGACAACAGTTCGAACAGGTAGTGTGCTGGGTGCGAGGCATCCAGAGTGATTATGAATCCACAGTATATGCGTTACTACGGAGACATGTTAAAATGCGTTTGTCAATCAATTCTGTGGGCGGGGAAACCGCACTCCTATATCACAATGCGGTCGGCCTCAAAATGAGAGGGGTTTGGATCCTATTTTATTGTGTTCGTATCACTCCAATATGACTGTGGACACATTTTACCTACACACAGTTCTGTCCAAACAGCTTTAAAAAGTTAATTTTCATCATTGATGCCCTTTAAGTTTAATGTAATATATATTTAAGAGAGTTGACACACCAAGGAAATATTAAAGGGCCATGAAACCCCCTCGTTTCAGCAGGGTGTTTTCACACCTCTACTTTGGAAAAAGTCAGAAAAGTGGGCATGTCCAGCTCTGTTTAGGGGGAGTGTCAGAGGAACTAAAGTGGGATGGTGTGGAAGTGTTTATTTGGGCACGCGCGAGTTTCAGTCAAAATACTCACACACAGGAGAAAGTGATGGTGTTTTACCTACATGGACATCTGTAGTCGAATTATTTGCCAAATTATTAAATGGTGGACTTTAACTGCAGTTTGGCTCTTTCATTCAGGGAATTCATTCATGCCCCTCGCGACAAACGAGATATTTGATTCGAGGATCTGCTCTAAGCGTGTATTTTTCATGCAATGTTTGATACCGCACGGCGAATGAGAGAAAAAAACTCAGCATTTTCCGGAAACTTAGATGCACACAGCAGGTAGTGTCAGAAAGCCGCGTGTGTTATTCCGGTCACTAAATGCGGTAAAAACCCTACACGAGGTTAAAGTTTGGTTGTGGTGCTAACATGTTTGCACTCGGTGCAATAGTTAACTTAGTTCGATACGAACAAACTGAATAAACAAAGAGCACTGGTCACTCACTTACCAAATCTGTAGAGACAGGACAATCAACAGCATCTAGAGCCGCGTCTTTATGAAGAGAAGACTACAAGCGAATCCGGATCTCAGCGTTTGCAGTTGAGAACAGCTCTCAGGTAAACAATAATCCTCCTTAGACACGTAAGTTATTGTTGTCGAGCGTCGCGTACACTGTTAATCCACACGTGATCCAGATGAGCTCTCACAGAGAGAAAATGAAAACGAAACTTAACGGCAGCAAACTATAAAAGCAACACTTCACGCTTGTTTTGCCAACACAACGTGGCGTCTCTGTCGTCTAAACACTGTGACATTAATGAATATTAATGAAGTTGCACAATAGAGCGCGCTGATTGGTTTGAACCAAGCCTTACTCATGCATTAATGCAGCACACTGTAAGACGTAATAAGACACACTCTGGCACAGACGCCCAGTCTGCACGCTGGAATACACGCTATTATGTCATGACCGTGACGCAGCTTCAAAAATTCGTTTCAAACAGGAAGTACGAATTTGCTTGAAATAACGCAAAAACAACCAATTTACACTTTTTAGTGAAATATAGGTGTCCTAATAGTGTTTTTAGCAGTGTGGGACACATATACGACTGTCAACAGCTCAAAAAATGTGTTTTGGTGTTTCGTGACCCTTTAATATACAGTGCCATTCAGATTATAACACACAATTATATGATTATTAACTTTTAAATAGCTAAGTTATAAAAGTAAGCATTGATGTCTCTAAATATGCAGTTCAAATGTATTTAAAAAATTAGCTAAGTAACAAAGAGCTTTTGTTTGTAGCCCTTCCTCAGGAGACAGATGACAGGGAAATGGTTTTCATTTGATGAAGACTTTTCACAGCTCGCCACCAGAATCAAGAGTCTTTCTGAGCAGAGCAAATACATGAGTCCAAAATATAGACAGGTGAGACTGCAGCTATTTCATGTATATACACAGACACACTGATATTTTTTCCGATATATCAATGTTTCTCTCTTTATTTCATTTGTTTGGGCACTTTTAGGCCTTTGTGAATGAAGTTCACTTTTTCGTGGTGAAGGAATACGTGTCTCAGCTGATGAAGAATAACTACTCGTGCAAAAACAGGAAGAACGAGACGGCTGCAGCTAAAATCACAAAACAGTGGGAGGAACTGAAAGAGATTTTCCAAGATATGGTACAATCCCTATTAAGCAATTTGTAACGTTGGTGCTTTTTTTCTGGTCACAACTCTCTAACATCTGCCTTACTTTTTCTGTAGCATTCTACATTAGATTGGCTCCATTCAGTTGGGAACCATCTGAGTCAGATCATTGGGTGCAAAAAAAGTGATGTAAAACACAACCTAAAGCCACTGGTTGAGAACTATCCTGACATCAGGTGAGAGTGAGATTATATTGTTTAGGTTTACAGTGGTTGTGAATTTAAAGGTCAATTTATACTTGTACACTACCTGACAAAAGTCTTATCGTCGATCCCAGTTGTAGAGCAACAAATAAAAACTTGACTTCTAGTTGATCATTTGGAAAAGTGGCAGAAGGTGGATTTCTCTAATGAATCGTCTGTTGAACTGCATCCCAATCATCACAAATACCGCAGAAGATCTACTGGAACCCACATGGACAAAATTTTTATAGAAATCAGTCAAGTTAGGTGAGGGAAAAATCATGGTTTGGGGTTACATTCAGTATGGGGTTGTGCGAGAGATGTGCAGAGTGGATGGCAACATCAACAGCCTGAGGTATCAAGACATTTGTGCTGCTCATTACATTACAAACCACAGGAGAGGGCAAATTCTTCAACAGGATAGCGCTTCTTCTTATACTTCGGCCTCCACATCAAAGCTCCTGAAAGCAAATAGGATCAAGGTGCTTCAGGATTGGCCAGCACAGTCACCAGACTTAAACATTATTGAGCATGTCTGGGGTAAGATTGAGGAGAAGGCATTGGAGATGAATCCAAAGGATCTTGATGAACTCTGGGAGTCCTGCAAGAACGCTTTCTTTGCCATATCAGATGACTTTATTAATGAGTGATTTGAGTCATTGCAGAGATGTATGGAGGCAGTCCTCCAAGCTCATGGGAGTCATACACAATATTAATTCGTTTTTTACTGCACCATGACTTTATATTCTATCCTGTACACTATTTATATAAGTGAAGTGAATGTTTAATTTGGGTAAAATAAGCATAATCTAGAGGCCTTTGCCCTTCTGATACCAAATGATCAACTAGAAGTCAAGTTATTATTTGCTGTCCGTAAAACTTGGATAGGTGACAAGACTTTTGTCAGGTAATGTGTCGAGTACACATGGTAGGTCCAGCGTCGCCTTTGCCATGTCCTTATGTGGACCTTGATTAACACCTCTCAAAAAACGTAACTACAGGTCATTATGATGCAAGTGCAAGTTTTGTGATTGGTCAACTTGGTATAGCTGTAATAACTGTGGGCGGGGCCTGAGGTGCCATGGGTCTTAATTCCCACAGAGGAGCTCTGGATGGATATTTTTATTTTGTGTTAATTTTATGATCAAAGTTGTTGAATGATCGCCGGTTCCCACCCGTTTAAACTACACGCTGACATGTGGCTCAGGGGTTAGCACTGTTGCCTCACAGCAAGACGATCGCTGGTTTGAGTCCTGACTGGGCCAGTTGGCATTTCTATGTAAAGTATGCATGTTCTCTCCATGTTCATGTGGAATTCCTGCGGGTGCTCTGTTTTCCCTTAGTCCAAAGACATGTGCTATAGGTGAGTTGAATAAGCTAAATTGGCTAAATAGTTTAAATAAGTTAAATAGTGTATGTGTGTGAATGTGAATGTGAGTGTATATGGGTGTTGTTCAGTACTTTGTTGTGACTGGAAGGGCATCCGCTGCATAAAACTTATGCTGGAATAGTTGGCGATTCATTCTGCTGTGGTGACCTCTGATATATTAGATACTAGGCCCAAGGAAAATTAATGAATGAATTTGAACTAACTCCATAGCATCTCATGCATTTCCAGCGTAAACTCAAAACACTTGCTAAGAAACCCCACTGCCCACTAGCATTTCGAAAGGGTTACTGAAGAGCAACACAGACAAATTACAGAAGTTTAAATGTTGCTGCCCTATCTCTGTTTTGGAAAATTGGGGTTTTCCAATTACTTCAGTAAGCACTTTCAAGCTGGTTTAAAGGCTGCCCACACTACTGAATGCCCTTCTGAGAGTGCTGAACCACATCTTCTTAGCCACTAAAAAGGCAGATTGAGTGGTCTATCAGACAGTTCTAAAGTGGTTCCAGTATTTTTTGTCCTACTGGAAATATGTGAAGAAATACGTAAAACTATTACCTCACAACAAGATGGTCGCTGGTTTAAATCCCAGCTGGGCCAGTTGTCATTTATGTATGGAGTTTGCATGTTCTCTCGCTGTACATGTGGGTTTCCTTCAAGTGAACTGGTTTCTCCCACAGTCCAAAGACATGTGGTATAAGTGAATTGGATAAGTAAATATTGGCCGTAGTATATGAGAGTGTGTAGAAATGAAAGAGATCATGGGTGTTTTCCTGTGCTGGGTTTTAGCTGGAAGGGCATCCACCACAGAAAACATATGCCTGATTAAGATGCACTTCATTTTGCTGAAGCAATCTCAGCGAAGAATAGTGAAAATATGTGGTTAGGGGAATTATCATCTTCCACTTTTTCTTTACCATGTATATTTGCCTCTAACTTTTGATGCATTTGCTACCTCTCAATTATTAGAAGCCATTCCATTTCATATTTAGGGTGACGACACACCAATCTCACTCACTGACTTTCTTTCGGCCTTGTCCTTTATTTATTAGGGGTTGACACATTGAAATGAATAGCCAATTATGCAATTGCTTTATGCAGTGGATGCCCTTCCAGCCGCAACCCAGCACTGAGGCTACAACTTATGAGTGCAACTCGTAAACCCCCGATGCACACACACACTCATACACTATTTCCAATTTAGTTTATACAAATTACTAATACCCCAGAGCTTGTTTTGTGATGAAACTGGAGCACTCAGAGGAAAACCCATGGAAGCACGGGGAGAACATGCAATCTCCACACAGAAATGCCAAATGACCCGGCTGGGACTCGAACCAGCAACACATACAAATCTATTTACCTTTTAAGAAGAAAGATCAATTGGCCATGACTGTTCTTTTATTTTGCTTAAACAAGGTCAAATCCTGACTATTCAACATGTTCTATCATTAATTGAAGTGAAAACTGAAGTGGTTATTTTCAGCCCTTTAGAAAACAACTTCATAACATCTTCATAATAAAAGGTTTTTAATTTGAAGATTCATAAACAAACAAATCGAAGTGAAAGTAGAAGACGGGGTGTGTTTCAGGATTAGATCAAATTCAACAGGTAGGGAGGATAATACATTTCCATGCAAACAAACACACTCTCTGTCAGCAATGTCCATGCGGTCATTTATCTATCGTTATAGAAAAATTATAATTTTCATAATTGAAAAAAAATATTTGCATACTGACCACTGGGAAAACTCTTGATCATAGATATACTCGCCGGCCACTTTATTAGGTACACCTTACTAGTACCGGGTTGGACCCCCTTTTGACTTTAAAACTGCCTTAAACATTCAAAGTCACTGAAATCAGCTTTCTTCCTCATTCTGATGCTCGATTTAAACTGCAGCAGATTGTCTTGACCATGTCTACATGCCTAAATGCATTGAATTGCTGCCATGTGATTGGCGGATTAGAAATTTGCATTAACGAGCAGTTGAACGGCTGTACCTAATAAAGTGGCCGGTGAGTGTATATGTATATATGTTTACATATCTATGGCTCTGGATGGCCAGTCCTCCACTTCACCTTGGACCTACATTCATTTCAAAGGAGCCCTACCCTGTGCTAAAATGGCGGCTTTATTGACACATTCCTTTCAATAGACAGCAATAGCATAGGCGACATCTAATGTAAATCTCTATGCCGCTTGGCGAAATCTGGTGGGTGATCACAGGTCAATTCATAGCTTTTTGTATCTTATTAATAAATTTTTGTCCAATTTGCTCATTCTCCAATGACGGTTGTGTTTAAGTTTGATGGTTCGGTGCCACACGTCCTTTTAAAAATCGTACATTTTCGTACAACTAAACATGTATGCATTAGCAACTTAACTGACAAATGTTTACGTAAAAAGCTACGCAGATAGATCACTTGACGTTTATTTGTAAATTGGGCTTAAGTCTTTCATTTTCATTTAACACATGCTTCTCCTGTTGCAGAAGGAGCCATCTCTCTGCAGTGCTGTATTTTCGAGGAATAATAAGAGGCAGGGAAAAGCACGTTATCTTACAGCGACTGGCAGAGCTGAAACAGAGCTTGGGGAGTTCTGGGAATAAAGAGCAAGCTCTCTTTAGTGAGATTCAAGCTTCAGCAAACACAGACTGTCTGGCAGGTACTCCCTTCTCCTGTCTGTCCTTCATCATGCCAGACAGATAATCGTAAGAAATACACTTCAATAGAAGTGGGAGAAATGATTGCAATGTTTAATAATGAACCTATGTTATATAATTTGAGCATTAGGTAGTGTTTTCATGCCTCTGTTAATGCTTAATAGACTTATATTCTTTGCATTAGTCTGTGTATTATCATTCTGTATGGCATCTACATATTTATTAATGAGAATCAGATTTTAATCTTCAAAAATTTTGTTACAGGAGTGAATGAGTTAAACTGGTGTATGTTCACCAGTTTCTGGTGTACTTCAGAAATGCTTGTTATTAGCGACACCGGTGGCCATTAAGTGAACTGCATCGGATAACCCTTGCTTTTTAGTTATATCCAGGCCCGGCCCTAACCAATTTGGCGCCCTGGGCAAGATTTCAGGTGGCGCCCCGTCACATTGCAGTAAATTCCACTGCTAGTGTAAAGTCAAAAGAAACTAAACATCTTTTTGATCAACTACTACAAGCTGGGAAAACGTCAGATAAATATGCCAATGCAATTAACATTATTGCTGAATAGATCTAATATTTACACAATTGCTTAAGGAAGGAGTGATGGGGGTAGTTACATTACTATTACTATTTTCCAAAACATCTATGCCCTTCCATAACATTAGCTGACGTAAAACTAACAGATAGCACTATAGCTATTTAATGATTAGCAATGTTATGTCATATCTATCAACGTTGGGATGTTAAAATATGGGACAACAAATAGCTTCAAATGATAGAATACATAGCAAACAATAGAAAATATTGACAATAAAATCTATTTAACTTTTAATTGTATTTGCTATTTAGTGAAGAGCAGCAAATGAATCTCTCATTGTGTTTTGTTTGATAACAGAGGTGTTAATGTAAGAATTCACAGATCTATAAGGAATGAATGAATGAAGCATTCGACTACTCTAGTAACTGTTGTGCTCATTTAAGAGAAAATTAGTTGTGTTTAAAATAAAACAAGCAGAATAGAGCAAAAAAAAAAAAAAAAAAAAAAGAAGCACTTTTCCGACGGTCCCTTACGGAGAGCTCCACTCTGCGCGAGCTCAGCTCTCCCGGCTAAACGCATATCCCAGGCTAAACAGAGCAGTGCTCGTAATATCGAGCGGAAAAAAAGAAAAAGACAGCTGTGAAACATAACCAGCTTTGTCTTTTTGTAGGAAACACACTTTAGATCTTTTTAGGGTAAGAGGTTTTTGAGTTATTGCCATCTATCACTGAATGTGTGTCAGGAATTTTGAAAACAAAACCAACTTAACTGCGCTCATTTCTGGCGCCCCCTGGATGTACAGCGCCCTTAGCATTTGCCTATACTGCCTATGCCACGGGCCGGCCCTGGTTATATCAATTCGATTTTAAGTATATTTGAGAATATAGTTTATATAGATATTGATATGTAGGATTATAGTTTGAATTAATCTCAAACACATTGACATTACAGCACAGAGTAGCTCTTGTGTTCATTATTATCTTGAACATTATATAAGCATTCATTTTGTGTCCGAATGGTAGAAAGGCTTTCAGGAGTGCTCTGTTAAAATAGTTTAATTAATAATACTACTGTTATTTTTATAGTTATGGCTGGGTAAATAAAAAAAAAAACATACATTTTTTTTAAATATTGAAAAGGCTTCATTCCATTACATTTTAATTCCAGACACTTTTGTTAAAATAAATCAAGAATCACAAACAATGAAGAAACAGAACAAAGTGCAGACAGTTATAAACTGTGCAAGCAGAAAATCCTCTGTTGATGGAGCAGAATATGGAGCTTTGTATGCTGTAGAGGCTGTCCAGCAGCTGCAGCAGGCTCCACTCAGTGTCCACAATGTACAGTACATTTGAACCACATCCAAACGCTTCTAAAAGATAGTCTTGGATGGTGAAATGGATATAAAAAACAAAGTTTTAATAAAAAACATAATAAAGCTTAAAAATAACCCAACAAAGCATGTTTAACTCAACCATTGGGTTAAATAAATAACTCAACGTTTTTTTAGCGTGTGTAAATGTCACTAGATATTATTTTCCCTGTACTGAATCCTTTGAGTGAATCCTTTTGAATTTTCTAAACAAACTGTTCACAGATTGGCCAAAAAAATTGTGATGTTATGTTTTAGCCAGCCCACCTTTTAAACGAATAGGCACTAGTTAATGGTAAATAAAAAGTACTGTAAATGATGATGCTACATTTTTAGCTGCCACATCATATTCATGGTGCTTTCTGAAAAAAGCACATCTGTGGCGGTTCAATAACTCTCAAACTTACATTCAGGATGGGTTTTAGATCGCTTGTGTCACTCAGAAATGTAAATGTTGTAAATAATAAGAGCCAATATGCTCTGTACACCATCCGAGGCCTTTTCAGGAAAATGACAGATTTTTCCAGATAATAATTGTGTGCATTTGTCACACAAATTGGATGTACAGGGTACAATGAAAGCCTGGTTTTAGACCACAATAATCCATTAGTATGGTGTAGGTCCTGCTTTTGCAGTCAATACAGCAACAATTCATCTTGGGAAAGACAGATACAAGTCCTGCACAGTGGCCAGAGGGATTTTGAGTCATTCTTCTTGTAGAATAGTGACCAGGTCACTTCGTGATGCTGATGGGGGAAAATGTTTCCTCACTCGCTCCTCCAAAACATAATAAATACAAATACAAATACAAAAAAATAATAAGAACTAATATATATATATATATATATATATATATATATATATATATATATATATATATATATATATATATATATATATATATATATATATGTGTATATATATATATATATATATATATATATATATGTATATATATATTATTCTGTTCTGTAATGATTTGTTTAGTTGTAGTTTGAAATGTATGCTTAGAAAATCCTGTCTCTCCCCTAAGGACTTATTATGCAGTCTCTGTTGCAATCTTGTGGCAGAATGTCAACCGTCTTTACTCTGCTCAGTATGATAGGCTGATAGCCGCCGATGTGCTAAATTTCCGAAATTAAGAACATTTAAAATAGGCACTATCCTTCGAAATAAACTGCATAGTTGCAATCTAAATTACATTCTCGCCTGAAAAAGCCTTAAAAGTTCATTATGTTGTCCAACAGCTGCAATATTTGTCAAACTGTAGTCCTCTGCTTTCCACTCGTGTGGGCGTAGTAGCCAATATTATTATTTTTTTCTAAATTTGTATCAGCCCACTTTTTTTTTTTGCTTTTACCAATTCTCAGTAACAAAAATTATATTTTTATAATATATAAATATAATATATTAGTTGATAGAGAAAAAAAAAACATTGGCTGATACAGATTTTAATTTGATAACTTATGTAATTATAAGATAATAATTATGAATAATTATTGTATCAGCCTAGGGCTGGGCCGATAAACAATATTATATCGAATCGCGATAAAATGTCATCAACATTAATAATCCTAAAGTAAGTGTTTTAAGTGGCTTAATAATATTTAGCTCTGGTAAATGTGCTGGCCATGTTCAACTATACTTTTGTTCATCAGACCACTATGTCACCAGTCTAGCAGTGTGTATTGCTGCATTATCATCCTGATGCATGGCACTGTCTTCAGCATACAATGCTTGAACCACTGGGTGCACATTTTCCTCCAGAATGGTTGGGTAATCCTTGGCAGTGATGTGCACATACAGCACAAGTATTGGCCTAGGAAATGTCATGATATTACTGCCCAAACCATCATTGATACACCCCCATTCTTTACCCTGAGCATGCAACAGTCTGGTTGGTATGCTTCTTGGGGATTCTCCACACTGTGACTGTCCCATTTGTGGGTAAGACATTGAAGGTGAACTCATCAGAGAACAATACATGTTTCATGTTGTCCATAGCCCAACATTTTCACTGCTGGCAGCATTAAAACTGATGTTTGTCATTGGCACAAGTGACCAAAGGTAGTGCTGTTGCCTCATAGCAAGAACTTCCATGGTTCGAGCCTCGGCTGGGTCAGTTGGCGTTTCTGTGTGGAGTTTGCATGTTCTTCCAGCGTCCGCGTGGATTTCCTCCGGTTGCTCCGGTTTCCCCCACAGTCCAAAGACATGCGATACAGGTGAATTGGGTAGGCTAAATGCTCCATAGTGTATGAGTGTGTATGGATGTTTCCCAGAGATGGGTTGCAGCCGGAAGGGCATCCGCTGCGTAAAACATATGCTGGATAAGTTGATGGTTCATTCTGCTTTGGTGACCCCAGATTGATAAAGGGACTAAGCCGAAAAGAAAATGAATAAATGATATATACACATGCACACACGCACACACATATATATATATGATTTTGAATTAATACACATTATGGTTATGATATTTTTATTGAGCTGTGCTTAAACTCTGCTATTCTGTACACATGATTTTAATGGTTTAAGATGCACTGTGTTGATCATGGTAGCAGTGTGAATGTCCTAAATAAATAAATCAGGATCAGGGAACTCTTAGGATCAGGGAAGTCACTTATATGCTAAATATGTTTTGAAATTAAAGGTTTTATACAATCTTATACACGTTTGACAATGATAACATTGTAAACATAAGGTGGTTATGGGTATTTACATATGCAATTATACAAGTGAATGCATTGATACCAACATTACATGAACATTGTTATGTGACACTAATCGATGTACAATAAAATTGATGTAATGTGAACTCAACATGTTTTTAATAATTCAAGCCGGTGTCGGTTCAGGGTTTATTTCACATGCTATAGCTGTTCAACACATTTTGCCTTCTGTCTTATATTTATGAACATGATAACACACACGATGGTCAATGAAAGTGCATCTCTGAAATATAAGTAATAGGCTTATATACTAATATAATTGAGGGTAAACAAAATTTGATTTGGAATGTGGATTTATATTTAATTTTATAGTAGAATAGATCAGTTTTGTTATCATGATATGGAGTTTATGGGAATTAGTTCAATTCTGTGTGCATCAGTTTGTGGTTTCTTTTGCAATAATCATTTCTTGAAACTTGCACTCCCGTTTAGTATGACACAGTAGGCTACCATCATGCTTCATGATGCTCATAAGCAAGCAGTTACTCTGATTTAGAGGTGAGTAACCTATATGGAGAATTGCATGAATTGTATTTTTCATTTTTTTTTAAAATAACATATGTGGAAGAATGAACTGACAACTTTTAGACATTGAACTGTGGCTTAAGTTCTGGCTGAACAGACCTTCAGTGGAGAAATCAAGCTTCTTTTTTTCGTAAAAAAAAAAAAAAAAATTGTATGTTTGAAATAACATGAGTGAATGATGACAGAACCGCATCCCTAAAGTCATCTCAAGAATAATATTCATAATAAAAGATTGCGCAGTGTTATTCCGCTATGATGAAGCAACAGAAATAACCATATGATGAAATATGAAAAGAAAAACATCAAGGCTGCAGCCGGTGTTCTGTCGATTTGTCTTGCCTTGTTAGATTTTCCTACCTCCCATTCAAAAAGTAGGTAGCAGATTTTGATGACGCAATGTGCTACCCA